ATGCATGCATCTATCCATCTATACATCCATTCATCCATCCATCTATCCATCCATCCATCCATCCATCCATCCATCCATCCATCCATCCATCCATCAATGCATCCATGCATCCATCCATCCATCCATCCATCCATCCATCCATCCATCCATCCATCCATATCTGGTCTCCCCATATATCCCAGGCTGTCCTCCAACTTTTAATTCACCTGCTGCAGCGTCCCAATGCTAGGATTACAGGTATGTACCACCACATCCCTCCTTTCCCTATTTGAAATGAAAATACAATGAATGAAGCAGAAGACATTCTGTCATCTTGAAGGATAGACAAGTCAATGGATTAACTAATATTTTAACACAGGTATCATTAAACAACTGATCTAGAGTTTGTAATTACTTACCTTTGGACTTTGTGTGTGTGTGCATGTACATGAATGCATGCATGGGTGTGTGTGTGTGTGTGTGTGTGTGTGTGTGTGTGTGTGTGTGTGTGTGTGATTTCTACACCACTATCATTAGGTTTTTCTGCTACTTATAACCAAAAGCATTACCAATGAGGTGCCACAGGATGGCTGGGGGATTAAATGAATTAAAGGGGTGGGGATAGAGCTTGTAGCACAAGGCTGACTATATTAACACTGAACTAACGCTGTCTATACAGCTATGTGAGCTGTGGGAATGCCTAAAGCAATTCCTCATTTGCATTTCAGTCAGTTCAGAGAGGACTCAATGGAGACTCCAGAACTGGATGCTTGAGAGGGAAGAGAGGCAGGTGCCTCCTTTATACACGAATGTCTGTCTGGTATGAAGAAAAAGGGATCCACTGGGCTAACACAATGTATGAGCTGCAAAATGTCCCTGTGATTCCTTGGGAGTGGCCTGTGGGGTAGGGTTATTCCTTATTTCAAAGCGATAGCATTTCTTCCAATAATATTAGCTTTTTTTTTTCTTCAGAAAAATTTTTGTTCAGCTTCTTTGTTAAGTAAGGAACATTTGTTTATGCTCTTTTGATTCTGGCAGCTGTGGTTTGGAAAGACTAGTCTAACATGGAGTCTCAACTTTGAGAAGCATTTTTGTTAAGATTACTATAATAATAGATTCCCCTACTAAGCGCTTCTGTGGTGGGAATCATTTGGAGTGTTTTATAAATTTGATCTTATGATTCAAGAATGGAAAGAAGTAACTGTTAACATTGAACAACATGGGTTAATTTAAAATGCAGTTGAGTGAGGAGGGAAGCAGAAAAGAACATACATGCTATCTTAGTACACACAATAATAAAAGATACAAACTCATCGGCTGTGAAGGAAGATTGGTGGATGTCCGGCACCGGGCAGAGTGGAGGGGTCACAGTGAGGGATTATCAAAGGATGTGAGAAAACTTGGAGGTTGTTGTGCTCAGTATTTCAACAATGACAACAGTTTTATGGGCATGTAAATATTTAAAAACCTACCAAAGTTTACACTTTCAATATGTGTAGTGTATTACATTTGTTAAAACTCAACAAAAGCTTTCATAAAATGGAGCCTGTAAAATGGGAAAAACTCTTTACCAGTTATATATCTGACAGAGCTATATTATCTAGAATACACATGGAACTCAAAAAACAAAAGATCAAGAAAACAAACAACAGAAGTTTCTTTTTTTTTTAAATTGAGCATGAAACTAAACAGGTTCTCAAAAGATGAAATATAAATGGTTGAGAAACATTTTTTTAAAAATATTCAACATCTTTAGCCATCAGGGAAATGCAAGTTAAAACTACTTTGAAACTTCGTCTTACCCTAGTCAGAATTGCTGAGATAAACACAAAAACAAAACAAAACAAATAAACAAAAACAACCCACAGATGCTAACAAATGCTGGCATGGATGAAGGGAATGGGGAACATTGGTTCATTTCTGGATGGGAGTAGAATCTGGCACAGACGTTACAGAAATCCGAGTGGAGTTCCTCAAAAAACGGAAATATATCTATCTGCACGATCCAGCTATACTACCCTTGCACATACACTCAAAGGACTATATCCTACTACAGAGATTCTTGCTCATCCATGTTCATTGCTGCCGCATTCACAATAAGTAGGTCAAGAGAATAGCCTAGATGGTCATCAATTGATGAATGGTTAGTGAAAACATGATACATTTATACAATGAAATATTATTCAGTTATTAAGAAAAACAAAATTATGAAATTCTCAGGCAAATGGATGGAGATGGATATGAACATTCTGATGAGGTAACCCATTTCAGAAAAACAAGCATTGCATGCTTTTTCTCATTTGTGGATAACTTTGAACCTTCAGATATGTGTATTTCATTAGAAATACTCATAGATGTCAGGAAATTAGTAAGAGATGGGGGTCAGTTGTGTGAGTAAAAGAGTAATAATATAACAGGAAGGGTTAAACTGGGGTGGGAAATAGGAGGGAAGGGTAGATAAAGGAATATGGGGAGTGATAAATAACACTAAAGACTTTCCAAACATTATATGAAAACCTACTACAGTAGAAGCTTTCGAATATATAGATATATACTTATATATAATAGATATAAATAGTTAAAATTAGGAGCTACCATAATTGTGCCACAGTGCCCCTTGTTGACACCACAGGCTAACAAATAAAAAGCTCAGTGCTGGGAATGGGCTACCTCTTTTGGAGTTGTTGGCCAGTGAAGTCCATAGACACCCGCCCCCCCCCCCCCCCCCGCCCTGCTCCAAGCATTACAGACTATTGCTAATGATCTTAACTGTTTTTTAAGACTTGATGGTAAGACTCTATTGCTGATAACATCACATGCTTGAGTCATAGAATATATCATTACTGTATCAATTAAGCTGGTATTAATATGGAAGCTTTATCTCTACTTGCTCTAACTTTCAAAGTGCTGGAAGGTGCCATGTACACTACTGGAAAAGAAAAGTAATCATCAATCTTACCCAGCTGTGAACCCTAAGAGTTACAGTAACAGCTAGCCTGGTAAGACATGCCCACTTTTGTACTAGTGGTATGAATACCATGGGAGTAACAATCACTATTTGATTGGAACTAATTCTGCTCTACAGGATGAAACACATACCTGGTACAATTTTTCAGGTTAAGAATCTATGGCTACATAGGTCATAGGCCCTGGGAAGAATTTACTACTTTTGTTCTTCTCAAATGACGTAGTATTTAATCTACTGCTAATGACTTATTGTTATATTCACAGGTTAAAGTTCTCTCAGTTCTTATCTGAGAAGTTTGTATTTGCAATAGATGGCAGTTAACATAGACCAACAACTGGTCAAGGTGAAGAGACTAAGAGAATGAGGAATGCTTGGCCCTAAATGGGACATCTGCATCCTACCCTCTTTTCCCAAGGCTCAGGAATCATTGTGGAGAAAGGGATAGAAACAGTATAAGAGCCTAAGACAGTGGATGACTATAAAGACACAGTGTCTCCTGACACAGTGGGGCACAGAAGTTATGACAGCATGCAAAACTCTTGTGCGAGCTCAAGCCAGACCAAATTGCAAGGTGGATAAGGGGGGGGGGGGAGGTAGGCACAAAGCGCCCCCACCTCCAGCTAAGGAGCTATTGGCGATTGATAGTTACTGGAAGAGACAGAATGAGTTTTTCTTAAGATTGTGGTCCCTGACAAGCTGACCATGTTCCAATGGAAGGCTAAACATCCATATGGGCAGCAGACATCACACATGGGTTAGAAAAAACACAGTTGGGTATGTAGGGGAAGGGGATAGATCGAGTTGGGTAGGGTATGCATATGACAAGAACACACTATGTATGATTCTCAAAGAACTAATACAAATTTAAAAAGGAAGTTATGCTGCCTCTCAGTAGGACAATGAATAAAAGAGCCTTGATTTATCCCTACAATAGAATTCTGTGTAGGAGTGAAAATAAATGAAATAGATCTGCATGCATCAAAACATTGATAAAAAGTAAGTTGCCAAAGAGAACAGTGTGATATATTTTTAACATTTAAATTATATAAGAATACTATGTGTTTTATGACTACAGGTGGGTATCAAGAGTTTAACTGTATAATGATGCATACCGGATTTGGTACTCACATTAATAAGGAGCAGGAAGGAGGACGGGCGGGGCAGGTGTGTTAACATCTGCTGAATCTGGGTGGTAGTACATGGGCAACTGTTATGTCACAGTATGGACTTCTCTGCACTCTTGAAATACTTAATAATTTAAGAATCATTTAATTATCCATCATACTCTCAGTGTTTGTTTCCTCATGCCAGAGACAACTACTGTTACCAGTTTCTTACATGTTCTTAGATATATGTATGTGCCATGCTGTGTAGCCATTGTGTAATAAACTTTTGTAAATTAAAAGCGTCCTCAGGACATTTTTCTGTTTATTTTTTAAAAGATTTATTTTTTACTTCTCTCTCTGTCTCTCTCTCTCCCTCCCCCTCCCTCCCTCTCCCTCTCCCTCTCCCTCCCCCCCTCTGTGTGTGTGTGTGTGTGTGTGTGTGTGTGTGTGTGTGTGTGTATACACGTACACATCAGTGCACTAAGCCTACCTCCACTCACAGCCACTGAACGAACACCCATGGATAGCTCACTACTGACCCCAGGAGAATTCAGAAGACAGGATGCATCATGAGGCTTTGCTTGGTGTGACCTTAGGCAGCCATCCTCCTAATCTGAGCCTGTAATCCCACCTACCAGGTTTTAAGGATGGATGAAGTGATATCTGTAGACGCTTCCAGTGCCTGAGCCTATAAGCCCATGCAGACCTCCAAGTGGCTCTGGGCTGTCTGTGAAGCTACAGTACTACTCTGATGGAATTCAACAGGCCATAGGGCACAGGAAGAGAGATAGAAGGAGACAGTGTTAAGGCGTGCTAGGGACATGGGACAGAGATGTGTGGGGTTAGGGAGAAAGCAGTGCTGTGGATGATGAAGGCCCAGCCTAGAAAGCATAGAAGCCCTGTTAGCCTTTTAGCTGCTCACACCCTAGGCCCCTGGGGCTGCTTACCCTGCAGCATTGCTGATGTAGTATAGTAGTTGAAGGGCACATTTTTCACCAGGTGTTTCTCAGGATCGAGGTTGGCCAGTTTTGCCCCCACCAGCACGGACTTGCCTGAGCCTGCAGAGCCGACCAGCATAACCGGCCGCCGCAGCTCCATAAGCCGCTCCATGAAGTAGCACACACGGATGGTCTCGCTTGTGTGTACCAAACAAGCCTGGAGCAGAATGTGATAAGCATCATGTTCTGGGACATCCCAGGAGAGAAGACTCTGCCATAAGGAAGCTTGTCTAATAGGGATGGCTCTGAGTATCCTTCCTAATTTCTACTGTTTGTCCATCTTGTAAACTCACTGTCACTGCACTCTGAAGTTCAGCAGAGGCCCACTACTGTCCTCTGTCTCCCTGAGGCATCTCCAAAGGGACCTGCAGGATCTTCCGGCCTTGTCCCCCTACCCCGCACCCTCTGTTCCTAATGATGCTGACTGGGTTCTCTATTTCTTTCCTTTCCTGTAGGGGATTCTGTGGCTTAATTACATCCAGGATTTGAAAACAAATGCATCTGGTGACCAACTGGTTTCTACAAGGTCAAATACTTGATACCAACCAGGGTCGCTTCTGAGCACCCTCATGGGTACCATGTCCTTGGTTGGTTGTTCAGTCCCACTTACCTGCAAAGGCATCTCAGGGTCAAATTCAAACTGGGGGATGAGCTTGGCCCAGGGCTCAAATTTCTTGGTCTCCCGGTCGATGTAGTAGTCAAAGACAGTTCCTTGGGAAGGAAACTTGACTGTTTTGAACTCAGTCAGCCACCATTTGCTGAACTCTGCCCGGTAGTCTACAAGCTGCAAAGACAAGGCTGGTCAGATCACAGATCCTCCAGAGCCCAAGGGACCCAGGCAGGTAACCCTGGCATTGACAGAAGTCGAGGCAAGGGCACAAAGAGCTCCCGCCTACATATGTCTCTAGAATGACATATGTCCAGGAATGACAGAGCATTGGCCCTGTCAAGGACCAGAAGGCAGGGGATGCCCTGGGACAGATGTTGCCCTCTGGAAGTTTCTGGGGTTTAGATGTGTCCTAGCATTCATATGATGGAAAGTTAATGTCCAAAGTCATATGTAAATGTACTTGAAGGTGGGGCCTTCATGGAAAAGGGAATTAGGATGAAATGAGGTCACATGACAGGGCCTCCATGATGAAGTTCAGAGAAGAGAGATTTAAACTAGCACGTTTTCTTTGATACCCATGGAATGCTCTCTGTTGTGATACATCAGGAAAGCAGGTGCAGTGCCAGACTCCCAGAAGTCAAGCCTCTTGAACCAAGAGCTAAATGAATTTCTATTCTTTATAGATGTCCTAGCATGTGGTACAAAGGAAATGGAGTAAGATAACAACATACAGCATCCTGGCTTGCCAGTGTGGCTACAACATTGCTGCTTGAATACATCACAGTTGCCCAAAAGCAAAGAGGGCTGAGGGAGGGAGGATATGAGGATGCAGAAGGGAGTAGGGTCCTTGACCACCAGAAGAGCAAGTGTGGACCAAGACCTCCCGAAGAGACAAAGAAACCAGCTCCCACCCTCCCAGGCATCTGAGACTGAGCAATTTCATGACATAAATGAAGGCTGACAGCAAGGGACACAGTGCAGTGGAGCAAGAAGAGCCACGGAGGCTAGTCACATCCTCCTGGGTCTCACTTTCATCATCTAAAGAGAAAGGTTCTAGAAAAGACTTCTAAAGCTTCCTTCCAGACCTAGTATAACATCCTGAAACAGCAGAGGAAACACAGCCCATTGGACCTTCTGACAGAAATAATAGGCTGTGTGTATAATTTCCATGCCTTAATATAAAGCGCAAATCCCTTAGGGATAGAGTGGGACACCTGATGTACTCCATTGTGTTCAAGTTGAAGCACACGGCAACTCTGCAGTACAGCAAAACCACACTGCAAACACCCAGACATAGGAAATATCATAGAGACAGCAGACTGGCCATTGTAGGAGGTATCCAGGGAGGGCAGGGCAGAGATAGCATTCCAAGACTAGATGGGTGGTGGAGCTGGTGCAGAGGAATGAGTCAGGATCCTGAGGGAGACAGGGGCACTTCCCATTTTACTGTCTTCTGGCAAATAGGATAAAATTCTTTTGTTTGAAAATGAGGATGGAGGTTGACCTGGTGGTACACACATGTAATCCCAAGAATCCAGAAGCTGAGGCAGGTGGACTAAGAGTTTAGGGCCAACCTGGGCTAGATTGTGGGGCCTGTCTCAAAACAATAAAAACACAAACAGAAAGCCAAAATAGAAAACTAAAATAAGAACAAGAAAAGAGAATTGACAGAAATATGGACAGGCTTCTGTGTAGTTCTGATTATGATCTCAAGTCAGATTAAGGGAATGTTGTCTTTTTTTTTCTCTAATTTTAATTCCAGAGAAAACCCCCATTTTAACCCATGGATGAAGTCCTTAGAGACCCTTTTGGTCTCTGGGGAAACCTCAAGTTGAGGCTACCTTTAGAAAGAACACATCTGTCCATCAACTCCTCATCTCAATTAATCCTTGATCTATCTGGTTCATTCTTGGGCAGGCTGGGTCACACTAATCTGTCCCCTTGCCACCCCATAATCTGGCAATTGATCTCAGCTTCCACTCTGACTGAAGACAAGATGACCCCTGCTGACTGAGCCATTGGTCAGCCCCCTTTGTATTCAGCTCTGTGGGGTTTTTTGGAGAAATGTATTTTAGTGAAATCTAGTCTCCCATGGCTTCAAATTCCATTATAGCCACGCCCTTTAACCTAGACAACATTAAAATGTTACTGACATCCCATTATAGAGTTTGGGACCTGATTTCACCACATTCAATCTTCACAATGCTCTGAATCATCCTGGCTGGTTAGAATGATCCCCATTTTGTATATGTAAGCCCCCACACCAGTCTTGTGTTCTCTCTACCATGTCTCTGTGGGAGATCACTTTCTGGGATTGTTGAAAAGTATTCACCAGGACTGTGTTGATTTTTTTAATTGGACCTTACACACAGGCATGGGCTCCATTTTTGTTTAGTGTGTGGCCTTATTGACAGGTTTTTAAGTGAGGCACCATTGGTGGTACTGATGCAAATATCTGGCCAAATTCCTACTCTCTAATTTACAGCACTCTCTTTGGTGTTTGGCTTTAATGTAGGTTGTGTGGGACTGCAGGCATTCCCTGCTGCTAAAAGCTTTCTCCTGTGTCTCTCCCTGTAAGCCAGCATGTCTGCGCATAGTTCCAAGAGCTTAAGACACCTGGGAAGGGTGCTTTCTTCCAGGGTTTTAGAAAGAGTGGAGTGGATTTAAACATCTCTATGTAAACTGGAAAATTGATCACGTGTCTTCATTCTGACACTCCACTGCTAATGTGGGTGAGGAGCCCAGGAGTGGCTAGCTGACATCTCAGCAGCTGGAAGGCCAGAGACTGCATTTGATGGAAGCATTAGCCTCTGCATTTGTGGATGTTTGTGCCTTCCAGCCAAATGTCATCCATCCTGCACACTCTGCCTCTGAGGGGAACTGTAGGTGCAATAGCAGTTCAACAGCAGTCTGAAGAGCAGCTCCTGTAGACTAGAGAGCAGACACAGAACTTCCTAGATGTCCGAGAGCCTGCACATCTCTCCTTTCCCACCTTCAAGGCATCTTAGTCTGGGCTGGGATCAGGGAAGGGGGAGCCCTTGAGCAGCATGCAATGATGGATGGGTGCTAGAATAAGGGTGTGTGCACCCTGTGAAGGAGCAAAGCATTTAGTCCCTTGCTCTCACTCCTTGCCTTTTCAGATTCTTCAGATATGGCTTTGTCCTGCAGGGCTGAAAACAAGAGCTCTGGATGGCTTAGAAGAGGGGTTAGTTGGTCACGTGCTTGCCACACAAGATTGAAGACCCTAGTTCAAACTCCCACGCCCATGGAAAACTTGAACACAGCAGGGCAGGGCTATAATCCCAGGGCTGGGGTCTCTAGGGCATACTGGCCAGCCAGTCTAGGTTAGTCAATGAGCCCCAGGTCACAGTAAGAGACTGTCGTCAAAATACAGTTGTAGAGCAATTGAGGAAGATATGTGACACTGATTTTTGACCTCCACATGTATGTACTCACATGTGCATGTACACACACACACATACACAGAGTGAGAGAAAGAGAGAGAGACATAGAGAGACAGAGACAGAGAGAGAGAGAGACACACACACACACACAGAGAGAGAGAGAGAGAGAGAGAGAGAGAGAGAGAGAGAGAGAGAGAGAGAGAGAGAGAAAGATTGAGAGCGCTAGCCCCACAGTCAACCCAGACCAGAAGGAGTAAATAATAATTCTGTAACAATCACAGCTTGTCTGGCTTCCTGTTGTGAGATAGCACCAGATATTTCTGTCTAGCTGAATATTTAGGTTAGGAGAATATTGCTAACAAACATGTATGTAAGCCAGCATTATTCTCAGTACCTTCCACGTATCCCCATTGGGTGATTTAGAACAATATCCTCGTCAACAACCCAGGAGCTGTCAGCATCCTCTGGACACACGAGGGGAGGAAGGAAGACAAAGGCTGAATTTCTAACTCACAGTTTCCCAGGTAATATTGACAGTTACAATTTATATCCTGTCAATGTTTTCTCTTTTCCTTCCCCGCTTCCCTTCTTCTTTCTTTTCATTTTCTTTCTTTTCTCGGTGGTTAATTTTGAACCTTTTTATTGATACATAAAACTGCACCTATTCAATGTATACAGTGTAGTATAAGTATACACTTGTGAGGTCATCGCCATAATCAGTGCATAAACCTACCCAATGCATCCCTATATTTCCTGTATTACTCCACTTTCTATTATTATTGCTGCGTTTTGGGATAAACACACCAGAACATACAATCTCTTTATGAAAATATGATGTTTACAGGGAGATATTAAGTGAAATAAGCCAGGCACAGAGGGACTAATTCTACAAATATAATGAATGCAAAATAGAAAAACTCACAGAAGCAGAGGGTGGAATAATAATGGCCACAGACTATGAGGAGCAGAAAGTAGTACATCTCGGTCAATTGTTTCATTCATACCAAGTGGGTAAGTGTAAGATGAACAAATCTATACAGAATTGTACCTATAGTTAAAACCGCTTTTATGTGGATTTAAACAATTGCTCACATAGTCCGTGTTCTTGACATCTTTCTAACACTGTATGGTAGATAGACTCAGTTATAAAACACTGGTTTATATAATCTTGAATATGTTATGTCTAGATAAAGTATACTAAAGTAAAGAGAGGGGGTGTGAATATAGGAAGAGTTAAGGAATCCAATGGCAGGATATTCTGAGTCAACATCTCTATCCCTGACATGCATGAGGCTGTAGGGGTCAACACCTGGTGATAATCACTACTTGGTTTGCCACTCACAGTTAACATTCGACCTGGCCCTCTCTGTGTTTAAGGAATATAGAGACACCCTGGTGAACTCTGCCTTGCTACAGAGTAAGTAGCACTTGCTTCTGAAGAGCTCTAGAAGGCTGAAAAATACTCCTCTCACTCAGGTTTCTACAGTACAGCACCCTCCCACCCCTCTCTATCAAACACAGTCACCTGGCAGAGTATCATAACATACCCCAGTACTTGTCTAAGCCCCAACACTGCACAGCATTCCATGAAAGCAGAGATGTGCTCCCCAGCTCAGAAAGCAACAGCCCCAAACACTGTGAGGCCCTTGCCAGGGAGTCTGTGCCTTTAGTGGAGCAGTGTGTGGGGAAACCGCCCTGATGTAATGTTCAATAGCCTACCTTGGGAGTCTGGGGAGGTGCAGTTTTTACTGCTGTACACTTCAACATGGTGTTGATCTCAGCATGTCACTTACCTGATCTTGGACCATGGCACCGCCAAAAGCCCAGATGGCAGCAAACACAAAATAGAGTTCGTACAATTCCTTGGGGCAGTCTGGGGGGATGTCCTCCTTGGTCAGGAGGCACTCGAGGAGGTAGCACAGCATCTGGACCATGCTCTGCTCTGGGACTGGAATCATCTTCTTAAATCTGCAGGGCAGGGGAAGGGCAGGGGGGGGGGAGAGAGAGAGAGAGAGAGAGAGAGAGAGAGAGAGAGAGAGAGAGAGAGAGAGAGAGAGAGAGAGGGGAGGGAGAGAGATTCTAAGACTCCATGAGTATTCCATTCTGTAGTGCAACTGCAAAGCCATGGAAGTCCATTGGTTTCAGGGACTCATGGTTTGTCACGTTCTTTGGGAGCACAGAGGACTATGGTGCTATGTAGGTCTTCACTATCTGTAGCGACTCTTGGGTCAGTTTCCTTTAAAGAATGGGAGCTCAGAGCTTTTAGAGAGAAGGTTCCCTGTCTGACCTGTCCACTGATAACCTCTTTTCCTTTCTTCATCTCTGTTTATATTGAAATTTTCTTCGCAGTATTTGGGGAATGCAGGAGGCGGGACAAAATGAGCTGGTATTCAGGTTTTCACCCATCTGGCGATTTCTTCAAAGCTTAAAGAGAAGCTAAATGCTGGGGATATAGCTTAGTGGTAGAGCACTTGCCTGGTGTACACAAGGTCCTGGGTCAACCTCCAGCACCACATGTGCATGTACACACACACACACACACACACACACACACACACACACACACACACACGCACACATGCACACATGCTCATACAGTCGCATACTCCCTGACACTTTTATCCCTTCATCCGTATGGATGGTATACATCATATAACCATACATATAACCATACAACCACTCCTCATCACATCCTGCCATGGAATGTGATCTTCCTAGGCTATGGGAGGCAGAATCTCTGTCAGTTAGCGTTATCAGATAAGCAGCACTATCAATGGCCACCTTCAAAGTCATTTACCTCCCTGGGGCCTATATGCTGCTCAGCATCCACTTTTTCCAATGTTGTCTGTTTGCAGCTGCTTCTAATCTGTCTGCGGTCCTTACAACAACATGAGCGTGTGGTCTAACAGTAGACATTACTTCTGCGAAGTCTAATGAGCCATCCATCATTTGCTCAATACCCACTTGTGACAGCATAATAAAATGGAATTATCTCTAGCTTCATATTGGATGAGGCACCAAAATAAGTCATGCCAGCTGGCCTTCCACTTCAAAATGAGGGCTCAAACAACCCAGGTAGGACCATCTTACAACTCGGACCTCTACTTCTTAGTAATATTGAGGACCAAAGCGGGATTGCAATGAGAACCTTGGTGTACAGCAAACACCCCACCTTCCACAGGAAATTGAGGGTTTGTCTTGAAGAAAAAAACAGGAGACTGGCTTCAGTTGGATTGCTCTGAGCTGGGAAGAGCGGTGTCTGGGAAATTCAAAGGGCTTGTGGATCTGAGATCAGAGTGTAGAGAGGTTTCTAGCTGTGGTATCCTGAGCTCCAGTTTGTCAAAGGAAGGGAGAGAAAAGGGTTTTCTGGAATCCAGTGTGCATGTAGGGTTGTTTGCAGACTAAGGGATCACCTTGCAGGATTTGGTGTGACCAGTAGCACACTCACCAGTGGATGAAGGAATGGGACACATATTTTTAAACAAATGTAGATGGGAGATGCTAGCTATGAGGAGGGGCACAAGGAGCTCCCATATCTCCCAAAGGAAGGAGCTAAATTTGATAGTAGCCATGCATACACAGGTCCAGCCAAGTGACATTTCCCTTTCTCTTTGCACTGCCTTCTTTCATCTCTGAGGGACGAGAAGATAGTTCTGAGGATGGGAAAGAAGAGGTGAAGAACACTGCCCGTCCTCACTGTGGGACAGAGCTTCTGGGCCAGAAGTTTCCACTATAAATAAGGTTTGTTTCTTTAAATTCTCAGTGGACTGAGTGTATGTGTGTGTGTGTGTGTGTGTGTGTGTGTGTGTGTGTGTGTGTGTGTGTGAGAGAGAGAGAGAGAGAGAGAGAGAGAGAGAGAGAGAGAGACTAGAAGTGAACATATAGATATTTAATACCAAATAATGACCAGAAACTTTGTAAACATTGACTCAGCTCTTTTGTAAATGTTGCTTGTTCAAGACAGTCATCTTGCTATGTAACTCCATATTATACTCTCCCACCACATCTTCCACAGTTCCATGATTCCACACATGTGCCACCATGCATATCCCATACCTAGATCTTATCCAGGGGCAGGAGATGAGACAGCCCCCACAAAAGAGTTTTGAAGGTACAATAAAGTTGCTTTATAATTATGCTTTGTTAAGTGAATGATACTAAAACCCTTAATACATGAGATCCAAGATGGCCAGCAACTCACAGGCACATTCTGCTAGACTCTTCAGGGGATAAACTGGGAGCAGTTAGATAACAGTTCAGAGGAGATAGGCAGCATCTTCAAATACCTATAGCTTTAATAGCAAGTGAACCATGGGACTTTAAAAAGCAGGGGACAAAGCTCAGTGTTCTTCCCAGAGGGATCTTCTCCCTTTAGGGAGCTTTCCTTCCCCTAGTAAGAGAGAGTGCCAACAGCAGGCAGCAGTAGCCACAGTGTAAGGCAGAGAGCCTCGGGAAGTCTGTACTGTACTTTTAGAAACAGATGTTTTAGAGAGCTGGAAAATGCGATGGGGGTAGGAGGCAGACCAAAGTGTGCTGCAATGGCAGAAAGCAGAGACATGCTGGGAAAAGCCTCCCTTCTTAGACTATAGGGGAACATGAAAACCATCTTACAAAGACTCCTGCTGAGTTGGTGGGTAGGTGGTACAAGATCATCTGCAAACCATGCTCTTGAGAAGCTCAGAGCAAGTGCCATGGGACTATATACTGACACCTGGTGTGGTGGTATTATGTTCCCCCAAATACTGTGCACCCTAATAAACTTATCTGGGGTCAGAAACAGAACAGTCACAATGTTAAACATGAAGATAGGCAGTGGTAGCACATGCCTTTAATCCTAGCATTCCAGAGGCAGAAATCCATCTGTTCAAGGATACAGCCAAGCATGGTGACTCATGCCTTTAATTCCAGAAAGCGAGGCTTTAATCCCAGAGAGTGGTGGTAGAAAGCAGAAAGGTATATAAGGCATGAGGACCAGAAACTAGAAGCATTTGGCCTGGTTAAGCATTTGGCTGGTTAAACTTTCAGGCTTTGGAGCAGCACAGTTCAGCTGAGATTCATTCTGGATGAGGACTCAGAGGCTTCCAGTCTGAGGAAACAGGACCAGCTGAGGAATTGGCAAGGTGAGATAGCTGTGGCTTGTTCTACATCGGATCTACCAGCATTCACCCCAATAACTGGCCTCAGGTTTGATTTTATTAATAAGACTCTTTAAGATTCATGGTACAACCTGGTCTAGAATACTTCTAGACCCTTGGGAAGAAGCTTTGAGTCAGAGCCTCACACAGTAGTCAGTGAAGTGGAAACCTGGTTAGAGCCAGAGTTTGTAGGGGAACAAGTGAGGTGGCCAACACTAGAAGGACTGCCTAGGGGAAGGGCCAATGTTACAACCAGGTTCCTGAAGCTTACCCAGAGGTCTGGCCAGCACCTGTGGCCTGACCTTGCAAAGAACCACTTGGGGGTGTGTCAGGCATCTTGGAGCCTGGGGAGGAATACTGAAGGACTTGAGATTAGAACCCACAAAGTATGACATATTATATTCATGCTCTCTCCCCAGCCAGGTCTCCCTTTGTATCAATTTCCCCCTTTGCTTTATACCCAATGCCAACTTTGTATGAGGTCATGCCAGAAGGTGATGCCAGAAAAAGCTTTTGACAAAATCAAAAATGTTTTCATAATAAAAGCTCTGTATCTTGAGTGTCTCCTAACACCAATGGGTTAGTGCCTTGGTCTCCATTTTAGTGCAACTAGGAGGGAGTGGGACCTTTAAGAGGATGGGTGTAATGAGGTCTTTATTTTACAGGGGATGTGAATTTGCAAAGATATGGCAATCTGATTTTTTTCTTCTTTCTTTTGCTTCCCCTATGTGAGCTGAGTGGTTTGGCTCTGCCACACGCCCCTCCTATGAGTCTCTACAGACACCCTCAAAACAGGGTCATCTGATCATGGACTGCAGCTGCAGATCTAGAGCCAAGATGAATCTTTCTTCTTTAAGAATGAATTATCTAGGGCGTCTCTCTTTTGCAGGGATGGAAACCTAACACAGGTGGTCAGAATAAATGAGCTCACTGAATCTAGCGTTGGCAGGACTGGTCAACTGACAGATCACATTTGATCCCATGTTATTACACAGGCAGGAAGAGGAAGTAGGTCTCATGTGCTTGAACAGTATGTCTTTCACCCCTGGGCCAGTTGGAGGGACAGCTGCCTGCTCTGCAAACCTGACCTGCTGGCAGCTATAGCCTCCTGTCAGACAGCTGCCTCCTTCAGACATAACCGTGCGGCTCCTGGGAAAAGTACTTTAAACCTTCCTCCGGTCCTCCTCATCTCCGCTCCTGTCTGGGCTGACAACAGGCATCGTATGGCCATGCTAATGTGTGTTCCCCTCTGCCAACTGCTGTGTCTAGAGACCTCTCATTTTGAGAACAGGACAGAACATCAGCAGGGCTTCAATTATGAGCCAGCAGGCTCTTGATGGCTGCATTGATGTACTTTCTTCCTGTTCCTTGGCCTACCTGGTTCTGAGGGTGTCCAAGCAGGTAGGAAGGTATTTGTCAAACAAGATGGTCAGGTTGGCTCTCTCAGTCTGGACCTCCCTCTGGTCAATCCAGCTGCTCACTGGAGGGTTCCACCCCAGGTCTGCAGGGTTGATGTACAGGATCCCTGAGTGTACAGGGAATATTGTTAAGTGAGTATTAACCATGCATGCCAGTAGATTCTTCACCCCAGGAAGTCAGCTTCTCAGTTTAAAAGTGTGTAGAAGACTAGACACAGAACTGGGTCCTCACCTAGGTCAGAGAGGCACATCGATTTGGTCCTGAAGGCCAATGTCAAGAAATGGATGAAGAGAGAAAATAATGTTGGAAAGGAACCCAGGGTCAAGTCTAGATAGGAAGAAAGCAAGCTGGGATTGAACAGTAATGGCTGTCAGCATGTGGGAATGTACAGTGAATGAAATGGAGGTCCCCTAAGAATATGTCCGTGTCTTAATTGCTGGACACTCTCAATTTGGCATTATTTAACAAAAGCCTTTCTGGATATAACTGAGTTAAATACCTTGAGATGAGAGTGTCATGAATTATCTAGATGGGACATTTGCCAATGCCATATATATTTATATATGGAGAGGGAGGGAGAGAGGGAGAGAGAGACAGAGACAGAGAGACAGAGACACAGAGAGAGAGAGGAAAGAGAGAGAGAGAGAGAGAGAGAGAGAGAGAGAGAGAGAGAGAGAGAGAGAGAGAGAGAGGAGAGAGAGTTAATAAATCCACATGAAGAAGGTAGAGACTGGAGTGACAAGTTCATAGGCCAAGGGCTGCCTGAGCTCCGAGATACAATGGTAATGTTCCCAAGAGCCTTTGGAGGGAGCACAGCCTTGCTAGTCTTAATTTTGGACGTCTGACTTTTGGAAACATGGACAATACAATTTTGCTGTTTCAAAGGCTACCAAGTGTATGTAACTTGTTAGACCTGCCACAGCCAGCATAGAAAATGAACAGAGAGGGGAGACAGCCACCTCTCCAGCTCTGTGTCCACCAATCTCAGTATGACCATTTAGAGAAAACCTGCTCTTATGTCTGAGGTCACAAAATTTCTCTTTGTTATTTGTTTATTTTTATATTAGTTCATGAAAGCTTTGAGTAGTGAGTTAGTGAGATACCAACGATATATAAAGCATCATACATGTAATGTACACTCCTTGTTTGTTTGGGATATGTGAATCCATCTGTGAAATCATCACCATGGTGGAGATCACCAGTATGCCCATCACATCAAAGAGTTCTATGGTTCTCATACTCTGTTCTGTTTTTCAGTAAGTAAGATCCTAGAACCATGGCAGCATCCTGCCTTCAGTTTGATCATCTCATCAGAAAGGCACCTTTTGTTCAATAGTCTCTGCTAACAAATTGATCAGGTGGAGACAGAGGGAAGGTAAGATCATATTGCTATGACCACCAAGAGTTAATGAGAAGTGGTGATGCTTGCTTGTCTCCACTGACAAGGAGGCTAGACCTGGCCTGAATATCTCAGTGGAAGTTGTCCAGATCAGGAACTCTTCCCCTTTCCACACACACAGCTTTTCTGAAGGTACAAAGTCATGTGGCCTGGGCCTTATGGTGCCTTTTTGCCCTTGTGGGTATAGTTTAAGGACTGAGAACTTGGCCAGAGTTTTGAAGGATCAGGTTCATAGTTCTATCTCAAGCTTCCTTCAGCACATGCCAAAGCAAAAATGATTCTATAAGCACCTGCCTCAACAGAGCTACTTGACTTGAAGGGTTGGCCATTACCTGCTCTAGAGACAGTTGCTGGCGTGGCTGTGCGCAGGTGGCTGATCTCAAAAAGGAGCCTCATTGTGGGGTTAAGGGGAATCCTCTCGTTGCTTGCTAGGGTCAGTACCTGGAAAGCACAGGAGGGACAGTCACTTAGGATGGAGCTGTAATGCTGTCATGGCTTGAAGGTGAACTGCTCCCACAGGCTCATAGGAACACTTTGTCCTCATCTGGTAGTGCTGTTGGGAGGTTATAGAATCCTTGGGACTTGGGATCTGCCTGGCAGAGGTGGGTCATGGATGGCAGGGCTGTGAAGGTGACAGCAGGGTGCTGTTTCCAGTCCTAGGCTCTATATCCCATGAGCCAAGATGTGAAGACCCCTCCCCATGTGTGTGTTCTTGGTGTGTCTTCCCACCATGATGAGACTGGTGGAAGTCAGCCCTTTCTCCTGTAAGTTTCTTCTGTCAGGGATTTCTTCACAGTGAAAAGAAAAGGTAGATGATACAGATGCATTGATAGGATCTTGTCACCTGGGGATGTGGATATGCTATACTTTGAGAATGTTCCCCAAACAACATAAGAAGAATCTTTTAGATGTGCTGAGGTCCTGAGACCTGCACCCCCGTATATGGATTAATGCTGAACACAAAAGGGCTTGAGTCTGAGTTCTACCTTTTGCCCCCTAATCTTGAACTTCTAGCCTCTGGAACTGTGAGCCAAAAAAAATCTTTTCCAGTATCCAGTGTTTTGGCACTGTAGCACAAAATATGTGCTACACCACTCCTCCATATCCCTTAGGTCTTATTATGTAGCCCAGGCTGGCTGCCAACTCACTATGTAGCCCAAAGTGCCCTTGAATTCAAAATCCTCCTGCTTCCACCTCTTGAGTGCTGGGGTGACAAGTGTGTGCCACCACACCCACATATTTCCTACAACAATCCTTTCTCTTTATTCCTTTGCACCCCCACCCCCACTCTCAACTTAGCATCTCAGTGAGTCTGGAAAAAAGTTATTTAAACACTCAAATCGATGTTGATAATTTGAATGAACCAGACCACACTGGAACAAATAAAACTATAAAAAGAAAGGGACTTCTGGTGTTACATTTCTGCTCTTCCTTCTAAGTGGCCCCGCTGGGAAACTATGCATTTATTCTAATGATTCTGTGACTGCTGGAGCCATTTGAACATTTCCAATCTGGACATGGTTTCTAAACAAGTTTAGAAGCAGCTACCAGCGTAACAACCGTTTTGCTGCGATGCCGTTAGTTTTCACTGTAAGGAATAACATACACTCTTCGGGGATAGGCATTTATCATCCTGGAGGGCGGGTGACAGACTCAGAATGTTTCTGATATTTAGTTTCCTTATTTATTAAAGGGAAATGAATTATAAAAAAGATGTGAATGGATAACTAAGATTCTTCTCCGCTCTAAATATTAAATAAATCCACAGACAGGAGATTCTGAAAGACATGAAAACAATACCAAAAAGTAGGGTGGGCAATGGCAGGGCCTCTCAAGGAGATCAGAGTGAGGACAGGTAATTTCTAGGGTGTCTCACTCAAGACACTGGTGATGGCTGCTTACCCTGGGCTGGCCATCACCTGGAACCAGGATTTCCAGGTGTGCTGTCACACTGGAAATTTGGCTTCTCAGATGAACATTGTACAGGGTCCTCCCCCAGATGAACGTGGATTACATGGGGTCCTCCACCATGATACCTTGTTATCATCCATGACCGTGTTGAGAGACTCAATCCACATCGGGTCTATGTCTCCATCCAATAAGATCCACTTGGGCCCATCATGGGAGATGTTGGCAAGCTCCCTCATGATGGAAGAGAACAGTCCTGAAAGGAATCACAGACGGCTTCTTTTCAGCACTGGCCCTCTTTTTCTTTACACAGCCTCCCCGCATTGGCTACAACACTCATGGGGTGCAAACAGATGAGACCAGGCTGACCCAGCTTTGGATCTTGCTCTACCTGGAACCTGACACGTGTGTCTGAGGCACCTTCCTTCTGTGGACCAGACTAACAACAGAACATCAGGAAGAACAAAACATTAGCAGCAGTTCTTGGCAGTTCAGATTATTAAGTGACAAAGGACCCAGGCAATCATTTCAGCAAAGGACTGCATCACAAGAGAATTACACCAAGGTCTTTGAGGTGAGGTCTCCATATTTTGTGATTGCAGCCTTAGCAAACCTTGTTTATGATAGGTGTTGTGAGACAATCCCTTCCATTCTTACTGTCGTCACCTCAGAATCTATACATTAATTTGGGTAGGATTGATTTTTTTATATTAAACTCTCCTACTAAATAACAGGGTCTATCTTAAAAAAAATTTATTCAGATATTGTTTTATGCCAACAATAAAATTATATAGTTTTTTAAACGTATTTCATTGGCCAAAATAGTCCTGAATATTTCATAGGTTTTGCTGTTCATTTGAATGGGGTTTTCTCCTTTGTGTTTTCACTTTTTGCAGGCTATTGCTAGTAGAGAGAAAGGTTACTAAGTTATATATGTGTATATATATATATATATATATATATATATAATGCTTAATTATTTTAAATAAATTGTCTTATTAACTCCAGTGATTTTTTTCAAGAAAGTCTTCTGGATTTTTCTTACTGTAAGGTTGCAGAATTAAGAAGCCCCCCTCATTTTTTTTTCTCCAATTTATACCATATGTTTTGTTTTCCTCGCCTTACTGCATTCTCTGAGCCAACAGAGCAGGGCTGAATAATAATGTTGACAAGTGACTTCCCTGACTCATCCTGCTTCTCAAGGAGAGGTTTATGCATATCCCTCAGAGAAGGTTGACTTCCTTTGGACTTTTGGTGTGGTCTTCATCATAGGGGGGTTTCCCATCTGATCCCATTTCACCTAGAACTTTCTAGAAGTGGCTACTGACTTTTAGTCTGTATTTATCAATCAATTTATTTTCTCTTCCAGTTTGCCAACGCTTTTTGCTTTATAATGAATTGTTTTATAAGAACAATTGACTGGCCTGTATACTCCGAGAGGACATTATACCCGATAAAATTCAACTATTCTTTTGAGACGGCTAGAGTCTAGTTACTGTTATTTGATTTAGAATTTTTGCATCCATAGCAATAAGATAGTGGTTTTGTTTGATTCCACATAAAAGATGGTTATCAAAATTATTCTGGATCTACAAAATGATTCCTGAGTGGCTTTTTATGGTTTGAAATCATTTGTTTTTGTTCTTCTACCTCCTTTACATTTTCATTTTCACGTTTCCTCAGGTTCCTTGCTTGCTATGAAGTGAATATTTCTAGTTTACATTTTGTTAGGGGTCATCAGTTTCATCAATTTCAGATACTGTGTCATCTGCTCAAACAGTCTCTTTAAATCTTATTTCTACTGCTCCGTTATCATTTTCTTAAAAGTTATTTGAGCATGTTCATACATGTGCAGATGTGTGTGCAGGAGCATGTTCATATATGGGCAGATATGTGTGGAGGAGCATGTTCATATATGTACAGGTGTGTGTGGAGAACACAGGGTAACCTTGGATGCTTCTTTTAGATGCTATCTACTTTTCTTTGAGACCAAGTCTCTCCCCAGCCTGTAGCTCATTAAGTAAGCTAGGTTAGGTAACTAGCAGAGGCCCAGGGATCTCTTCTCCTCCCCAGCATTAGGATTACAAGCATGAGTCAGTTTCTGACATTTTTATGTGGATTCTAAGGATGTATCTCAAGGCCCCATGTTCACTTTGATGACTGAACTATTTCTTCAGACCTGTTCTTTCTCTTTGTGAAAACACACACACACACACACACACACACACACACACACACACACACACACACACACACACCTTCTTTTTACACATGCACACGCATAGTATATACTGTTTCCCCCACCAAGAATGCTCACAATGAACTTATTGATCTTTACATAGAACCAATATTAAGCGTCATCTTTTCTATGTTTGTTTCTGTTGGTTGGTTTGTTTCCTTCTGACTAATTTCAGACTTTATTAGTTTCACCTTCCTCAGGGATAGTTTAATTGCTCAATATGGATAACAACTTCCTCTATTTCCAGTTTACTTTTTTGATAGAGTTTAATGTCCTTCTAGGCTTTGGATCTGCAGATTCAAAAGATTCTACAGACTGTGTGAAACATCCTGTTCATTGGTTCTTCCATGGCTTTCACTTCGATTTTCCTTCTGATACAGAGAACATTCCTGATTTTCAAGTAGGAGATTGTTTGGGGTTATTTTCTTGCTAGTTAATTCTAATTCTGTCACTTTATCAGAGGATGTGGCCTATAAAATGAGACCTTAGGTTTCAATATACCTTTCTCTGAAGCCAACTGAATTTTAAACTTTTGAAACTAGACCATGAACCAAACAAGAAAGGAATATTTGCTATTTGTAGAATGCAAAGTTGAATAATTATGTATCATTTTGAATTCAATGATGTATCTGAGAATTCTGTGTGTACACTTCCTTTTCTCTCTATTGGAACCTTATGATTTTGAAAAAGTGTATAGAAGAATAGCCCACTACATCTTTAGCAAATTCTAAAAATTTCTAAAAGGCTATATTTCATTTGCTTTAAAATTGTGCTGTTTAGTGAATACAAATTCTTGATTACTATATTCTCTCTGCCAGTTTTCCCAAACATAATGTGTAAATTTAACATAGTTTTAATTAAGATGATAGCAAAGTTTAAAATGTTCAATTATAATATCAAGCTCAAATTTAATATGGGAAAATAAAGTACCTGAGAGTATCCCAGAAAGTTACAGCCAGGCAGTGGTGGTGCATGCCTTTAATCCCAGCACTCATGAGGCAGAGGCAGGAGAATCAAGGCCAGCCTGATCTACAGAGTAAGTTCTAGGACAGCCAGGGCTACACAGAGAAACCCTGTCTCTCAAAACAAAACAAAAAAAGTACTTAATAATTAGGGTCGATGTCCCTTGTTAGATTGTAAACTATGCTTCAAAACAGCTGTGACTGGCACAGAATGAAACTAGTTTAGGAACAGGGAATATGAGAGTGGAACAGACTGGAAACCCTGGAGTCAGAGCTTAGTGTACATGGGTTCAATACCCGGCAAGCTGGTGTTTAGGCTCAGATGGAAAGAATGGTTTATTTAATAAATGGTACTGGCATAATCAATTGCCCATCTGGAAGGAAATAAAGCTGACTTTTCAACACTACCTCATACTAAGCCACCAAATAAATTCCAGATGGGTTAAAAAATGTTAATGTAAAAGAATCCTTATTGAACAAATTTATGATCTTATAGCTGCAGCTGAAAAGTAGACAGAGTTATAAATGAACAGGAATCCCAGCTGCTGAGAGAGAGAGAGACACACATTATTTCCTTTGGAAAAAATGCATGATAAGATGCAGCATGAAGTTCTATAGACACATGATAGGAGACAGCATTAGCAACACAACACACATAGCATGTCATGAATAGAGCTGCCTTTGTGGCTTATGGATGCATATATGAACTCTTATACACTGATACAAAATAACAAAGGGAAACCAAACACAAGAGGCAGAGCACTAATAGAGGAAAGCACCACTGAGAGGGAAATAAAAGTCAGAGATGCGGCTCAGTAACCTGTTCTGGACCTCTGATTGAAACTCTTAGAGGAGATCAGACCGTTTGGCTCTGAGGAAGTCAGACACTGAGCCATTAGGAGAGTCTGACATTTCCTCACCCAGACCACAGGGCTTGTGGGTTTGGGGTCCTCTGCATTGTATGGAAGGCAACATGAACCTACAATCCCTTCTAGGGTGGAGAGGTCATCCCCTGCATTACCAGCCACCAGGTCCAGACTCCAGTCCATAGCAGGCACCCTCTCCATCACTGCTAGGGGATGCTGGCTGGTGCCATACTTTAAGAATGAGTCATGAAACTCCCTTCCGTGCATATCCCTTGAGTCCATGCAAGGCAATGCAGCCACTCTAGTCTGTGCCGTATACCTTATCCACTTTAAGGACTGTTACAAAAGGGGCTAGAAGAGTTCTCAGGGAAGAGACATTTGCAAAGCTAGGGTTCTCCTCTCAGTCCAAAGTAGCTTTTTCCTTTCCGATGCTCCTCTAATCTTCTTTGGTATCCTGTCCCCAGCTCAGTATCCTCTCCTTTCCAGCTTACCCCTTGACCTTTGAGCCTGACAGGGGCACTATGGATAGAAAAGAATTTGTCTTAGAGACTCTCATTCTTACCATCCTTCCATTCTCGAGTGGCCGGATTGATGATGCCGAAGAGTTCATCATTTGTGACAGCTTTGGGGTTGAGGTCAGTCCACACCGGGCGACGTTTCATGACCTGATAGGTCTTGTGCAAAGACCTCAGTACCTGTGATTTGCCAGTGCCAGCACCACCCACCACGAACACGGAGTGCCTCACGGCTAGGAGCTCTTCCAGCTGGACCACCTGGGAGGAGGAAAAGCAGCTGGAGGGACAGGTTGTTGTGCACATCCAACTGTTCATTGGTGAGCAAGGCTGGTGTGTGAAGTGAGGACTGAAGTAAAAAACGGACAGTATTTATCACAAACATGATGGGATCTAAAATGCAGGAGCATCACAGTTCACTTATTCACATGTCCCTCTTTCACCCAAGTAGGCATCATTGGCTAATAGTTCTAAGTTCTAAGAAGGTACCAGGTAGGAGGGTATTCCAATATGCTTCCATAATCTGATAGGGAAGAAAGTCATGTTGGGAAATCACAGTACGAGCTGATAATGCTATAACACATGTATTTACAAAGTGCTGTGGGAATCACTGATCTTGAAGACAACAAGAATAAGAAAAGCTTTCCAGAGAAAGGGGCCTTTGAAACAGAGCTCCACAGGTGAACAGGAGTTTGTCCAGAATATGCACAGGAGGGATATTTTGGGAAAATGGAGGCAGGAGGATGACAGCTTAAATGAAGGTTTGTAGTATGATGGAATGTGATGTGGTTGGCTGGGTGGTTTGGGGGAGGATGGAGTCAGAAAACCTCATGGAGACAGTGGTTGCATCAAACTACTATACAGCCAGTTAGACACTAAATTAAGGCCCCAAACAACAAACAGACTTGTAGGTAATCAAGCTATTGTCATCCTTCTGCCCCTTTAGTAGCTACTTATAGCTTTGGAGATGAAGTCTAACTCAGATTGGCTTAAAGTCCCTTTGGCAATCTGGCCCAAACCAGACACCTCTCATATCTCATCCCTCAATGTGCACATTTCCCACAATGACATGCAGCTCCTTTCTGATGCTGGTTTCCATCTTTTTGCTTTCTCTTACAAGGTACCCTTCCTGTATCCCAGCCCTTGACAGTATTGCTACTTTTCTGTCTTACTATTTGATTGCTGGCTCACTAAAGGACACCAAGGCTTTAAAGGGGTGGGGCCTAGTGAGTGACTCTTAGGTCACTTGGGGACATGCTATCAGAAGAACTAGGGTTTCTTATGAGACTCTGTTTCTTATGTGACAAGTGTTGAAAGGAGACTCCTGCATGTGCCCACTCAGCTCTCCCTGACTTTGTACTGAGATGTTGTTTGCTTGCTTCAGAACACACTTCCACCATTGCGACCCACCATGCTGGCCCTCATCAGGGCTGAGATAGCATAGGTGTTATGCCCTTGATCTTTGAAGTCCCTGAGTCAACTGTTCTACTTCTTCTACCACCCAGCTGGAAAATTTCCTTTCTTTGCTCCCGACCCTTGAAACTCCATCAGGATGCGTCTCTGACTGACCCTGCAATCTTCACTCTCCTCAGAGCTGAGTCCTTCTAGGCTGGACACATCACTTCTCAGATGTAGGATGTTTTCCCCCAAAGAAGCTCTGTCTAAGGGTATCCCAATCCCACAATCCCCTCTAGTCTGCTGGATCTGATACTTCTGTTGTATTTTCAGAAAATTGTTGGGTTGTCCATTTCTCACTTTCTATAGTTCCATGAGCTATTTTCTTTGCCTTTAAGTAATTAAAATATGGATTTTTTAAGGGATCACAGGATTCAACAAGGGCTCCAGGAGACAGTTTTGGGGGAATTAGTTTTCAGAAGCTGAAGTGGAAAGGCAAATATAAAGTGGGGGTGGAGAGCTCTCTTCTCATACCTTTAGCAGAGAAACTCCATCTTATCAGAAGCAGCTGTGGAAGAGGGGTGGGGAAAGAAAACAGAATGCCATCCACCTGATAAAAAGACAGATAGGATTCTAGAAGGAAAAAATATGGAGAACTAGCAGGGGTTGGGGGATTAGACGCCCTGACCAGACCTCAGAGAGCCTAGAAAGACAGGACCTGCCCTGATTTTAAGGCAACATCTTTAGTTAGGAGTACTGTATGAACCTCACTGAGTTTCACTCATCTCTTTGAAGAGGGTACATCCTAGGATTAGCCATTTGAAGGGGAACATGCTCAGCCTGACATTCAGAGCCTTCTCTATCATGGCCCCAGGCCATGCAATCTTCCTGCAATCCTTTACCCCAGCTCCCATCACCTCAATGCCCTTTCCTTTGGCATCACTGGCCTTCCTGCTGTTGCCTGTACAGCCTCTATGTTTCCTGCACACACCCCTTTGTTGACCCCCTTTACCCTAAATAGAAGGTAATCTTGCCTTTCTTTACTTCAAAAGTCAGTCTGTCCATTGAACTTGGAAGGCAGGAGATGGTGAATGGGGATGGATCAATTTGCTGCAAAGGGGAAGGGCATGCTTTCCTTTCCTCTGTAAAAGGAAATTCTAGCAATAAAGACATACACCTTATTTGCAATGGAAAGGGTATGTGCCAATTTACTCTTAAATTTGTCTTTACATAATCAGGGCTTAATCTCCACCAGTGAGCATATTGTGTGTTAGAAATTCCTTTACCGTACATGCCTTCATGGGTCACACTTTCTCCCTGGTAAAATGCCTTCCTGTACTGTGCTGTAGAGGCTCATTTTCCCACCTATGAAGTGTTTCTTCTGCTTTAGGTAGTTGAGGGAATTAAATGTGAGACAGAATATAAAACCCACGTGCGAACTCTAAAGTGATGCCTATGTGTTTCACACACCTATTATTTGACAGGAAGAGTAAACTATGTCTTTGTACTCAGAAACCTTGGTTGTTCTTTGTGGCAACTGTCTTCTGATGCAAGCTAACCTTGTTCCCATGCAGTCATCCCTAGCATCTCTACATGACACACACCCTGTAACCATCACATTCTACAAAATCACATGCGAAAACAACAGACTCAGGGAAAACCAGGATTGGTGTGGACCATAAGACATGCAGAAAACTCTGTGCTCCAAGCCCTTTGAAAGTCAGCTGTGAATCTTGTCCCTAACCCGGTGGCAGCAACAGTTCATGCCTATGCGTTACCGCCTTGCCTCATTGTCAGTCTGGCTTTGTAGGCTTCAACCGGGAGCTGGGCTTCCTCGTTAGAGAGGCAGGTCCTGTTCTGTTGGAGACTATTTTAATATCAATTAGAGATCAGACCCAGATGGAACCTTCCTCATTAATCCACTGTTTGAATGTGAGGGAGATGGTTTCCCAGACTCTCCGTGTGCCCTCGCAACCTTTGGCAGCAGAGCACAAATTGGTTCTTAAGGACACTAGCAAGCTTCTCCTCCTTAATATCTTTAGCACCAAACAGTTCATTTTCCATCGATGCCAATGGCAGGGATTCCCTCTTCTCTTGTCCTCCACACTGTCATTCCACATTGTGGCCTCCCAGAAAAGAACTAGTAAGTGAATTGAGGCACCTCTTACCGGATCTAAATCTGTACCAGCTAAGATTCCATTTGGATGAAGGATGAAGTACAACTCATGGTCCAAGAAAAGAATTCAGAGACAAAAAAAAAAAGCTTGTAAGGGAAAGCCTCATGTACCTTGAGCACAAAGTTGTCTTCAGCCTGGAGCTTAAGGTCCAAGATTGCTTTCCGAACCACAGCTTCAAAGTTCAGGTCTCTCCTCCGGGGGACGTCCAGAGCAGGAAAGAGGTCGCTAATCAGACCCATGAACACCGGCATGTCATCTGTCACAATCTTGGGGATGTTGAAATCTCTCAAGGAGCGCATCAAGACTTGGTCCTCTGGTCGGTCCGGGTCTCCTCGTTTCAGGGAGCCTGCTACCACAAGGACAGACTTGATGGCCCGCAGCCCCCAGTCATAGTGATCCTAGGGGAAGATAGCACAGTTGAGGCCAAGGTTGCTTGGATGTGGAGCATCATATGCATGGGCCACACAATTACACACAGAACATGCTATAGGTCACTACTGAAGCTCAGGTGGAGGGTGAGCGACCAGGTCTCCGAACACTATGTTCCTGATCTGGCATCGCCTGTATTTTTCCAGCTATGATGGTAAAGCAGACATAGAACATCCAATGGGATGGGGCTCTGGGGGATAAACAAGAACCATTTTCAAATTGATCTGGTTGTTCCTTGTATATTCAGAGGATGGAAGGGCTATTAAGGAGAGAGCAGCTTAGCTGTTAGAGAAGGTGCATGATGAGCTTATAAGATTTTCTTTGGATGCCTCCAAACTCACTGAAAATAGTTTAAAAAAAAGTATACTCCCTGAGGCTGGGATCATAGCTTAATGGCAGAAATATTGCCTACCATAGGCAAGCTCCTAGGTTTGATTCCCAAAATATTGTAAGAGTTCCACAGTATCACCAGTAGTAGATTCTGGGGCAAATGGATCATAAAATTGACACCAGGGCTCACAGCATGGTGAGGGGAGGTGGTAGTTCAGAATACAGAGTTTGAAATTCTGCAGATCTCCGTTCAAGTCTCCACTTATCACTTGTTTCATACTAGATCAACTAAATAATTAGTTGTGATAAATGCTACAAAGGGAAAAACCCCATGTGCAATGGAGGCAAAAGATGCAGTGGCTGTACCTGGGGGCTGTGGGACCAGAGATAGTCCTGAAGGAAAGGCATTTAGACAGCATTGGAAGGAGTAGAAATCAGTTAGGCCCAGACGAGGGAGCACTATAGTCAAGGGCCAAGGAACAGGCGCCCACAGGCTCGGGATGAGAGGCTCATTTATCTCAAGGAACTCCAAGGAGACTTAGGCAGGTAGAACACAGCATGAGAACCATAGGCATGAGCTGTTGAAGAAGGTAGAGTGCAGAGCTCTACAGCCTTGAGCAGAGGGACCAGAGGTTTGTCTTGATGCTAAGAGCAGTGAGGAGGATTTGAAAACAATTACTTTAGCTGGTATCTCAAGAATGGGTGGAGGAAGCTGAATCACCAGCAGCAAAAATTATTCCAGAGGCAGGAGTAAGAGTTTAACTAAGAGACATGGGTACTTGTAACTAGAGCAGCAGCAGTGAGTACAGAGAAGCACAGGTGATCTAGTTAGTACTAGCTAGTGCTAGTTAGTGCTAGTTGGTGTTCTGCTGCTTTGATAAACACTATGATCAAAAGCAACTTGGGGAGAAAAGGTTTATTTTAGCTTACAGACTACAATTCAACATTGAGAGAAGCCAAGAGGGGAAATCGAGCAAGGATCTTGAAGCAGAAATCACTGAGAGCCACTTACTAGTCTCTTTCCAGGCACACATTGGGCTCTCTTTCTTCCATAGCTCAGGTCTATCCACCTAGGGATGGTACTGCCCACAATGACCTAGGCCCTCCTATATCAACTATCAATCAAGAAAATGCCCCACAGACATGTCCACAGGTCAGTCTGATGGAGGCAATTCCTCAATTGAGATTCTTTCTTCTCAGGAATGTCAAGATGAACCATCATCACAAGGTGACTCCAGAAAGTAGAATCAATACCACTTTGTTACTGTGGAATAATCCTTTTGTACACTGTGAATACATGTTGCTCTCATTGTTAATAAAAAGCTGATTGGCTGATGACTAGCAGGATTTTGGGGGCAGGGAGAATGTTAGGGAAAAGAAAGGCAGAGTCAGAGGAGACATCATGAGATTCAGAGTAAGCAGGATGGGAAGTACACATGTGAGGTAATGGAGCCTCAGAGCAGCACATAGATTAATAGAAATGGGTTAATTTAAGTTATAAGAGCTAGCTTAAAACAAGCCCAAGCTATCAGCTGAGCATTTATAATTAATAATAAGTCTCTGTGTGGTTATTTGGGGAGTGGCTGGTGGGACAGAAAAGTCCACCTACACTTTGTTAATGATTAGGTTCAGGAGGGAGAAGAAAGTGTCAGGGGTGAGTCTTGTTGCTCCCCCACCCCTTTAGCAAGCAGTAAATGATGGCTTCACATACTGTATCTAGAACAGGGAAGGAAGGCTCTGGTGAGAGCTGGCAGGGAAGAGCAGCTTGAACATGCTGAGTGGAGGTACTCTTTAGATGTAGGGAAAATGGTGGGGTCCACCACTGACAATATATGTTTGGACACAGAGAGAGGTTTGTGACAGAATTCTGAGCCCAGAAGTCACAGGCCTGGATGTCAGTGGTGACAGAGAATGGAGAAAGAGGACACAATGAAAAAGCGTTGAGCAAATAGGATTCCTCTTTCTTGTAAATATGTCATAGGGCAGACAGAATCCATGACAGTGAAGGTGATTTAGAAAGATGACCCCAAAGGGAGTGTGAACCTCCACTGGTAAGAGTCCTAGGAAGTTCTGTTCGTTGTCCTTGACACCAAGAAATCATCCACACAGAGTACTGACCTCACTAAGGTGCTGTTTCCCGGGTGTGCCTTCAGCAGAAGGCCTTTTAAAGTTACATTACTGGGGAAGAGTATGGAACTGTTATTCTAAATCACTTCCAGCACCCAGCCCATCTCATGTCCCTTCAGAGACCATTCCCTCCAGGGATTGTCACTTTCCATTGCCATGTTTCTCATGGGACACTTGTCTGAGAAAGGTTATTAACTATTTAAAAATAATTTGGACCTCAAAGACTTTGAAAGCGTGCTGAGTTGAAAGCTGAACACAAAGTCTTATTGAAGAACTTAGAGCTTTTATTATGGCTTCTCAGCCCAGACTCTGTAAGAAAGCTCTAGTTCATTGGTTTCGAGTTGGGCCACAGCGTGGTGGGTGCTTGGTCCTCGGCCTCCAGAGAGATCCTACCTGTTTGGAGAGAAGTTCTTTGCACAGCTGGTAAAGGGTGATGAACTTTCTGGCCAGCAATCGGGCTTCAATGAATCCTTCTGCTACCAGCATAATCTCACAGATCAGCTCAAAGTCTGGAACTACCATTGCGCAAGGCCTGGAGGCAGAGAGCCAGAGGCTGAGAAACTGACTTGAAGGGGAGACTGCAGGACAATGGAGACTGGCTGCGATCACACAAAGAGCTGCCTTCCAGGCCGAAGGTTCACAGAAGGACTGTTGTAATCATTGCATCTCACACTTCTAAATCTGAGATGGTTAACTAAGGATAAAGGGAGTGAGCCTCCTACCCAAAGTGGTGAGTAATATCAGCAGGAGGGGGCTGAGTTGGAGCTACTGGAATCAGAGCATTCCCCTGCTCCATCTTCTCAAGGTGGGGATGTCCTCTGGATATCCATGGTTTATTTTGCACTCATTTGTATAAAAAATTATTTAAGTTTCCAATGCTAAGTACCAGGTAGGAACCAATCAGCACCATCTTGACACAGGATAGCATACACAAAAAAAGCAGATCTGAGATTTTCATCTCTATGTGAGAATTTACTGTGGTTTTCCTCTCTCTGGAAATATAAATGATTTGTTAAAATTTTATTTATTTGGTATGTTATGGGAACTTATTGTTGTTAAATTATGTGTGTATGTGTGTGTGTGTGTGTGTGTGTGTGTGTGTGTGTATGTGTGTGCCAAAAGATAAACTTGAATGTTGTTCCTCAGAAGCCACCCAGCTTGTTGAGACAATGCCTCTCACTGGCTTGCAACTCATTGATTCAGGTAGGCCAGCTGGCCAGCAAACCCCAGAAAGATACCTGTGTCCTTCTCCCCCTCACAGGAATGACAAGAGCTAGACACCACACCCAGCTTTGAAAAACTAGACTGAACACACATCCTTGTGTTTGCCTGGCAAGCACTTTACCGGCTGAGCTATTTGCCCAGCCTGTTACGTCTCTTTAATTGCATTTTCCCTGTATTGATAACATTTATTTTTCAAAATAATTCAAGTACATATTGTCCTCTGAAATGTTTTATACTGCACTCAGAATCGAAGGAGCCACCAAATATTTAAATTCTCGAAATTATTTGGCAGTCTGAACATGAGGATATCAACAGAATTTAATGCGGCTGTGAAAAATGATGCTGCAGAAGGAAGATTAGTAAGTGGCATGGGAAAATATTAATTAATGAAAGCAGTATATTAAACAATATGGCCAGTTCCCAGCTTTGAAAAATGAATGCTAACACAGTATGGGAAGAAATATGTCAAGTGGTTACAGGGTTGCCTCTAGGTAACAGGACTGGACTGCGATGAGCCCAGACTCTTGGTTCAAACTCCAGCTCTGCTGTTTACTAACCAGGGACTCCAACTGTCATCTCACAGTACATGGAGGAATCAAATAGTATCTATGTGTCACAGGGCCTTTGTGAGAATTAAGTGTAGAATAGATGTTCATCTTAATGCTTTAAAAATATCTTTCTCAGGACTGGAGAGATGGGTCTGGTGCTTAAGATCCCTTGCTATTCTGACAAAGGACTTGGGTTTGGTTCCAAGCTCCCACATGGCCACAAACAACCACCTGTCACTGTAGTCCCAGAAGATAAAATGTCCTTTTCTGGCCTCCATGAGTAGCAAGCATGCATGTGGTACACATACATATGTGCAAGCAAACTCATACACCTCAAATAAAAATAGATAACTCAAAAATATCGTTCTTATTCTTTCCCAACTTTCTTTTATGAGTATAGTATACACTGCCAGAGTCTAAATGATTGTATACCCCTAAAATTTTTATGGAAAGACCTAGTGTGATGGGATTGGGAGGTGGAAGTCATGAGAATGAGGCCTCGGGAAGAGGATGAAGTCCGAGAGTAAGCTTGCTGGCTCCCTGCCACAGAAGAATATACCATGAGGTAACCATCCCTTGCAACTTGGAAGGGAGCCATCCCAGAACTTGACCATCTGGCCCTCTGACCTTGGACGTCTGGCTTCAAGCATCCTGAGAAGTGTCCATTGTTTAGATGAGCTAGTCAATAGCAGTTTGCTATCGCACATGGCCCAGACTAAGATTACTTTAAATTTAGGAAGAAAACAAGAGGAACAATTCCTACCTGGGTGATAGCCTGCCTGTGTCTGTCGCACATACCTTACCTAATACTCTGGGTAAACGGTCAACACTGCAGTCAGTGTTCTGCTCATGTTTCAGTGGTTTTTGGTTCAAGTAGGAGTTGCTTGAGTGAGGACACACCAACATTCATATGACACAGAGAGTTGCTACCACAGGAGTGACTTTGAAGTCAGAGGCTGGGCCAGATGTGTCCTACAGTCCCAGCACTCAGGAGGCTGAGGCAAACAGGATCCCCGCTGCACAGTGGGGACCCTTTTTTAAAATCAAGGCAGTAAGCAAACAAAAAATTAAAACCCCAAGTCCAGGAGAGACTAGGACAGCCAGGGGCTGCCTGGCAGCCTGACGGGCTATCACAGTGTTGACTCCACCTCTCCTGGAGAGGGCACTGCAACCCAGCTGCCAAACGAGACAGATAATATTGTCACACTTCCCACTATCTCTCCTAGGAAAAAGTTTAATAAGCAGGGGATGCAAAAGCAGGAAACATCCTTCAGGTTTCTCCTTGTTGGGCCAACTTCTCTTGTCTGAAAAAAGATTGCAAACTCTAACTCTTGCTAGGAAAGACGTTTGTGTTTCCTTATAAAATATATACCTAAAGATCTAAAAACATTGCCATACGCAAGGGTGGCAAGGGTGAAATAAAAGAGGTGTTTCTACGTGTCTTTACCAGGATGTAATTTGACACTGAGCTTTTTAGAAAGTAATTTGGCAATGTGTATCAAAAGCCTTAAAAATGTTCCTGCTCGTTAACTCCATAATTCCGCTCTGGGAAGTGAGCCAAACAAAATAATCATGCATACAGAGAAAAGATTTATATACAAAAAAATGTACATTACAGAATTATGTATGAATTTATTTTAAATGCTAGAAATACTTGTAATATTCAGCCATGAGGGGCTAGTTAATTACACCGTGGACCATGTACTTGATAGAAAAATATGTAGCCATGGAATGAGATTTATTAAAAATACCCAATAGGAGAAAATATTTATGATAGGCTAGGGGATAAAAAATAAATAATGAATTTGTACACAAGTCACAAATGTACATTGCAAGTACATAAAATAAAATTAATCTATATATATGTAACTGAATGATCCACAGTTGAGCCAAGAATGATTTTACTGCCGGGCAGTGGTGGCTCATGCCTTTAATCCCAGCACTCGGGAAGCAGATCTCTGTGAGTTCGAGGCCAGCCTGGTCTATAAAGTGAGTTCCAGGAAAGGCGCAAAACTACACAGAGAAACCCTGTCTCGAAAAACCAAAAAAACTAAAAAAAAAAAAAAAAAAAAAAAGAATGATTTTACTGATGCTGCCATTATAGTAAAAGTAGATCTTTAAAAATCTGCTTTTTAAATTGTAAAGCATTTATACATTTTATGAAATCTATCATACATATATTTTGATCATGTTTTCCCCTCCCCTAACACAACAGAACTGACACACACATGAACTCATAGAGACAATTGGCAGTATACACAAGACCTCACAAGTTCAAGCCAGGCTGGGTTCCAGCCTAGACAGACTGGACTAGACACAGGGTCCCGCCCACAACCAAGAGGCTGTTTACGACTGACACCTGATGGCAAAGAGAAGTCAATTTTCTCCAATAGAGTGTCCATGAGTAAAAAAAAAATCTATTCTCTAAATGTTGTGATTTTTCTCTGATATATAAACTAGACTTTAAGCAGGAAAACACAAGAAACTCCTCTTTGCAAGTCCGTGTGTGGAGACATACTGCTACTCACCTGAAGAGGGCCTTGAGGTTCTCTGGCAGTTCTGTGCGGCCAGCATAGCCAGGGTTCATGGTGATGAAGATGCCCACAGAAGGATCCAGGCTAATCTCCTCCCCAAGGAAGCTGAACCTCTGCTTCCTGTCTCTGATGGCATCCTGGATGCTTTTCACCTGGTGGAGGATCAGAGGAAAAGGACTCCCAGCATTCCAGTGGTGGGCAGTAGCTAAAGCTGGAAATCCAGACAGAACACAGGAAATTGTCCTGTGGTCCCCTGCACTGAAGGACAGGCAATGGTGCCTGCATCCTGGAGCTTTTGCTGACGGGTGCTAAATATGGCTGTCCTACTTGGATGGGAGTGGTCAGGTGATTTTTTCATTTGGTATCTGGGTTCCTTGTAGTGGCACATAAAATAGTGCTAGTGCTAGTGTGTGTGTGTGTGTGTGTGTGTGTGTGTGTGTGTGTGTGTGTGTGTGTGTGAGAGAGAGAGAGAGAGAGAGAGAGAGAGAGAGAGAGAGAGAGAGAGAGAGAAGTGCGGGGTGCTGGGATCAAATCCATTGCACATGCCAATGCTGTGCCCTGGGCCTTATTCCTAGCCCTGAGTATTTTTTATGCACAGAAAGCCATTCAAATCTCATCAAGATAGATGGAGGAAACACTTCAACCCATTGCCTCTACTTCACTATGATAAAACAGAAGCTCAGAGAGGTGAAGTCGTTTGCCCACAGTCATAGAGCCCCTCTCTTAAGCAGCAGGATTTGAATCCATGCCTGGGGATTCTTGAGCATGTGCTGTTGGCCACCGCACCATGGGGAGAATGCCAGCACCTGACCCCCCCCCCCCCACCATCTTGTTCTAAGGATAATGAAATCCACACAGAAAAACAACAACAACAAAACACCCCCCCCCAAACAAACCAGCAGCATTCATGGAACTTTTGAATATGAGCATTGTTCCCGCAGCTGTGTTTATTGTCTCAGCTCAAACCCCCCTCCCCAATCTCTCCCCAGATTGCATGTCCAGAGTGACATTACCAGCAGGTGGAATCTGAATGATGCTTCCCTCACAGTTTGGAGAATCCAGACTATGAGAAGGGGTGGCATGTGCCAGAATGGCACAGGAAAGCTAAGGTTTGAAAAGGGTCATTTTCAAGGAGATTCCACTTCCCAAATGCCTCTGATGAAGCCAGAGGACTATATTAGCTGAAGCGTTGTTAAAGGGCTGATAACCCCAAATCTTCAGGTGAGCTGAGCAACAGGCTTTGCAGGTTAGGACCAGGGCCACTCCTGATAAACAGGCCAGCATGGACCCTGTTGGTATTTACAGCTTTGAGGCTTCAGGGGAACTGACCTGTAGATGGAAATGTCTATCTCCAAAGTTTCAGTTTCTGCCCTATAAAACCCCCAAGCCTCCCTCGCCTCCCCCCCCACCCCCTCCCAGCCCCATATTTCAGCACACAGCCAGACTGCTGCCTTTCATTGTTCTGATTAAAGGTCAACCTCCTTCTGTAGATGTTGGTCTCCTCTTTTTATTATTTCCAGGTCACCTCCATCAACCCTGATCTAACTAGTGTAAACTGGTCGGAGCTCCATTCTGGGTTAACACTTACAGAAGTGAGAAAGCGGACAGAAATGGAGCTCAACTGTATATGGTTTTCACACTCTGCTTTGAAATACGTGCAAAAATGATCAGCTAGAGTATAGAAGAAGACAAAAAGCACACACCAGCAGGCTGGCTTTGCTCAGCCAGGCCCCACAATGTCTCTGGAAATCTATAGCCTCATGTGGTTCTTGGAAGCAAAACCTGAAGTTGGAACCAGGGTAGGGTTTTAAATGAGCCTAGATTATGTCTGTCAAGTATGGCGGCTAGAAAAGCCAAGGGTAGCCCAGTTCTGCCAAGGGCTATGGAGGGGTAGGGCGCACGTGTGTGTGTGTGTGTGTGTGTGTGTGTGTGTGTGTGTGTGTGTGTGTGTGTATGTGTATGTGTGTGTGTGTGTGAAGGTGGGAGAGAAGGGGAAGGGGACAATATTGTCAGGATATGTGACAGTTCTGCAACTAGAATTCTGCTCTTCTGCAGCAAAGTTCTAATGACTGAATGTATTTGAGCTCACAGCAATTAGAGAGAACCTGAGACTTCTCTCTACGTGCAGAATACCAATGCCATCCAGGCAGAGCCAGCCTCCAGCACCCTGCATGCTGGCCACCCAGGCAGAACTCTGCTGATTCATGCCAGGCTCACAGCTCAGCCCGGCTCTGCCTTGCTACCCTCTCTATCTGCAAGTTAGGTGGCATGTGAAAGCTCTTTGCATCCTTCCTTCCTTCCCAGTCCCTAAATCTGTAAAATATACAGAGCACTTCCTTGGCTAGGGACAGGGAGGCAAGTTTAATTAGCATTTACAAGATGTTGTGCTACCTTTGGGCAAAGGCCAAAGCTAGAGCCTAGGACCCTCCTGCTGTTTGTTCTGACTCAGCACTCTCTGCCCAAACACTGAAGCCCAGAAAGCCCACACTCAGCAGGAATTTATGACGTACTTTGGATTGGAGGCATCTGTGCTTTTGTGTAAAATTCTGTAGGGGGGCTCTTGAGGGAAATAACTGAGCAGGCTGGGGGATGTGGGGGACACTGGAGCCTCGATGCTGTCAGGTGTTTCTCCTAGCCTGCTTTGTGCCAAACAGGACACCACTGGCTCTGACTCCCTTACTGCAGCAACTGAGATTCTTGGGAGAAACCACAGGGATGTGATGGTAATCAGGATCCAGGGGCCTGGATAAAGACCATAGGGTTGGGGATGCCAAAGAGGAATAGAGATACACAGAAAAGGTGAGGATTCAATGCAAGTCTTGCTAGGTGGAGGCCAACAACTCAACTCCACACACACATAACTAAAGTTGCATCACTTCTGGAGATTTTAAAGCCATCAGGAATAATGAATAATAATAAAACATATCTAATATTTTTGAAGCATTTGACCAGTACCAAGCACTATTCTGAACATTCTGCAGAAAGCTTCCCATCAGTTCTATGGAGACTGAGATGGGTGGTCTTAGACCCTAATTTTCTAGAGGTGGAAGTGAGGCAGAAGGTGGTTAAGAAACCATTCTCTTTATAAGTTACCTTCAGGGGAAACTAAGGGAGAGACAAATAGAAGCTGTACTGTTTTTGAAACTTTCATATTAACCTAAAATTGGCTCAAAGTAAAAAGATAACAGAAAAAAAAAGTGCGGGTGAAAATGAACATTTGCCACGTGGGGCAGGTCAAGTCTTAAAACCAAACAGGAAACAAAGCACGTGTATTCAGTCACTTCTCCCAGAAGGGGCATGACGCTGGTTGAGCATGGCCTCATCCGACTCAGTGTGACATCAGTTAACTGATAAAATGTCCTGACATATTCTGAGAACTTGCTAGGCAGTGTGGTTGTTATATGCCCACCACAATGAGTCACTCCTAGGAAGCCAAGGTATCACTTAGGTGATTGATGGTTGCTGCAAGGTTTACTTGTGTTTATGTATATGTCCTTTGTTTCACTCTGAAAAGAATGTTTATTATACATCAGAAACATTTCCTACACAATGAGAAAAGAAGTCCCCATTGCCCATTAAAGAAGCAGAAAGGTAAAGCTTTGAAGATGCCTGGTTCTCACCCAGGATCATTTTCACCCATTCCCCATGGGTGTATTTGACATCCAGAGACATTCTCGAAGCATGGAGAGAAGGGTGCTGTAGGCACCAAGTAGGTTGATATTCTACATCGCACAGGATAAACCTTTGCAACAAACCTTTCCTATCCTGGAAGCTGGCACTCTCAGATGGTTCTGTCCTGTGTCCTTCCACTCAGGCCTTGAATCTGCCATAGTGGACGACATATGCAAATGGCCCTATCTTTTTGCAGGTGATACAATTTACGGAGGTCACAGGCTAGCCCAATCTGTGCAAATGTTCTCAGTTTTTTTCTCCCCACTCCTTAACTCTTTCCAGTCTAGGGATGTGGCCCATTCTCCGTTCATTCTTTTATGACACCTTTGCCCAGATTCCATGTTATCACTGTCTGGATTCCACAGTAATGGTAGGCTGGAGCCTGTGGCCTTCAGAAGTACAACCCAATCACCACTTTGTGCATTTTGTCACAGTTCTGAGTTCTTTTAGAGTCAGCTCCTCTACAGAGGGTGCAACTTGGGACATTCTCTTGGCTCTGAGACTGGAGCATTTGTTCCTTGCCTGGAGTCCTTGGAACCACATCGTAAGTCCCTTGTTAATACATCTTCTGACTGTTATTTATTTGTTTTGTTGGGACAGAGTCTCACTATGTTGTTTAGGCTGGCCTCAAACTCACAGTCTTAGCTGGGATTTTAGGTGTTTGTTGCCATGCCTGGCTTGGCATGCTGCTCAGCCGCTTCATATCTCAGTCCAGGCCCTGTCAGTGCCTGTACCACAAGTAGTGGGGACACCAAAGAATATGGGAGGAAGGCAGGGGCTATAGGTTCAAGGTAATGTGTTTTTACCTTGGTGGGATATTTCCCAAGGCTCAGATAATCCAAGGTCTAGAGCGATGACTGAGCCAGCAAGGAGGAGATTCTGAAAAGAAGAATTAAGTGGTATAATGCTTTTTAAAAATAGAGGGTAATTTCTCTTGCAATTGCCACACTGAGGATTTTCCCCAATGGGTATGCAATTCTGTTTGACCAACCTGACAGAGACATTGAAAATATCCAGCAATATAAACACTGGAGCCTAATCACTTCTACAGAAGTTCCTGGGATGAGAAGCACAGAAGGGTGTGGAGAGGAGAGGGAGGGGATGGCAGCAGAGGACTGTCAGCAGCTGGTGCAGCTTCCAAACCAATATGCCAGCCAGGATTACTGTGTGAATAATTAAGCACAATTTTCTCCTTGGATGCTTATATGATTTTAAATGTTACCAGCTCCAGTTCTGCCTGAACTGTTGTCAGACCGCTTCCTCCTGACTGTCTTGTATTGGTGTGTCCCTAGACCAGAATGTGGCAGCATCAGAGAATTCCAAGTTGAACTTATTTTACTCAACTCTAGGAACAAAAGGGGAGAAGTCCTGTCTTGACCTTTCCAAATAAGGGCCTTCCATTTTCTGACTCCCGAGCAGTGGACAACAGCTGATGGGCACCCTCTCAACAGCTAGTAAATGGTTAGAGTTGGTAAGATAACCTGGGGATGGTTCAGCTAGGATAAGTGAGGGTGTAGGTAGTACAGACCTGTGCAAGGCAGGTATGGACCTTTACCCATGTCCCATGGGTCACACTATCTACTTCCTCCTATTTCCTGTTTTGTTAAAATGACAAGGATAGCAATCATCCCTACTACCACCACCACCTCCATCACTACTACCATTGTAATCACATGCCCTCCTCCTCATCATCATCATCATTGCCATAGTTATCATCTCTACCATCATCCTCATCATCACTACCATTATAATCATTATGCCCTCCTCCTCATCATTGCCATAGTCATCATCACCACCATTGTAACCATTATGCCCTCCTCCTCCTCATCATCATTGCCATAGTCATCATCATCACCACCATCCTCATCATCACTACCATTGTAACCATTATGCCCTCATCATCATCATTGCCATAGTCATCATCATCACCACCATCCTCATCATCACTACCATTGTAACCATTATGCCCTCATCATCATTATTGTCATAGTCATCATCATCACCACCCTCATCATCACTACCATTGTAATCACATGCCCCCTTAATTGTCACCTCTATCACCATTGCCATAGTAATCATTATCACTATACCACCCTTGCCATCATCACTACCATTGTAACCATTATGACCTCATAATCACCTCCACCACCATCATCATCACCACCATCACCTTCAACATCATTATCACCACTGTTATAACTACCATCATCACCTCCATCCTCCTCCTCATCACTATTATTACCTCCATAAACTCCACTACCTTCATTATCATTTCCGCCACTACCATCACTTGCCTCATTGCTGGCACTACCACTAAAACATCATCACCTTCATCATCACCACCACCATTACCATTAGCATCACCAGCGCCATGCTCATCCTCATTATGGATACCACTGTCATCATCATCATCAATCATCATTACCATTAGCATCAACACTAACACTACTTCCAAAATCATTACCAATTTCATCATTATCTTCATCACTACCATCACAAACACCATCACCATCACTACCACTACCATTGCATTATCATCAGTTACACCCATCATCACTATCATTACCATGGCCATCACTCTGACATTTGAATACCTATGATCTATAGGTCCTTGATTTAAATGTTTTAGACATCAACTCATTGAAAAAAAATGTTGTAATGAAAGAATTGTGACTAGCTCAATGATCTCTCTGTGGAACATGCTGAGAGAAATGCCTTGGGACACAGAGGAAGATAGTGTACGGCAAGTCCCTAGCACAAACCATCTCCCTGAGACACCCATCAATGGAATTATGTATAATTAATGGTTCTAGACTTCAGTGGAATCAGGAACAGCAATGCCTGGCTGGTGAGGACAGGAGATGTCCTCTAATACCGTGGCAAGTAGCCAGAGGAGGGGCACAGAAATCACAAATGTGGAGATCAGAGGAAGACATACAGGGAAGTGGAAATAGGACAGTGGGCAAGGGGATCAGAAGACAGATACCTGCAGTAGGAGAGATAGGAAGAGAAGCTTCCATGGAGCAATGGAAGGAAATGAAACCATTTTCAGTGCGCACTGTGGGGGGTTGGGGGTGGGGGTTGGGTGGAGGAAGACAGCTTCTCCCCAGATTATCACAGCCACTCATGGGCTGGAACCAGTGTTCTGAGAAGGGTTTGTTTATTCTACATCCTCAGGAAGGGATCTGTCCCCACAGTTCACAGAGAGATTCTATGGCACTATGGTTCCAGATTGTGATGTGACCACCCAAGTGTGGAAACAGCCAGAAGACATGTGCAATTTCTGCTATGGTGTGGTCAAGGTTTCAATTCATCTCCAGGGGTTCATATATTGAATTAAATCCTCATTATGAGACACCAAGAGGGTGAGAACTTGATCCAGCTATAGTGTCTAGAGATTAAACTTTTGGGAGGTAGCTATGTATAGACAAGGTCATCAGGTAGGGCTCATGGTTGAATCTTGTGGTTTAACAGCAAGAAGTCATTGCCAGATGTGTATCTTTGAAAGTCTAGGAGTGTGGGTCAAAAAAACATTTTCTTTATATGGAGTCCAACTTCAGGTCCACAGAAAAAGACTAATATAATACTACAAAAATATAAGCATTCAGTTTCAGTCTAGGTTACACCAGACTCCCATCTATACAAGGCAGAGGTATGTTGATAAATGTTGAACCATTGACTTTCCAGATAAAAAAAGGTCTTTACGTGCAGAATGAGTCAGTGCCATGAACTGTAGGTTTAGGGAGGAACAGTTTATGGGGATTAAACCTGGGATCTTGTGCCTGTTAGGCAAGCACTCTACCATTGGCCCACATTCCCAGCACCAGTTTCTGGATGGAAATACTTCCTCCCTAGGCCCTGTCAAGTCATGCCAATGCGAGAGCACAGAAATTTGCATAATCGACTTACCAAGCCAAGGCAGATCATGATGTCCTTGGTGCAAGGGAGTGTTTAGATTACTGCTTGGGCCTCACTCCCCCGACCATCACTCATTCCTTCTGAGAAGAGCAAATCTTAGGAAGGGGAAACTGCATCTTGTTCTGGGGAATCTTTGCTAAGGGACAGCTGGGACAAGCGTCAGTATTTGTGGAGCAGCCTTCATCATAAGAGAGCCAAAAGGACTAGCCACTGTGGCGCAGGCACGTGACAGGCCCCTGAGAGCCCCCTGAGAGCCCCTGCTCCCCGTGGCAGTTGAAGGCCAGGGGTGGGTGTTATGGAATAGCAGCTGGTATAGGGCCTACCCCTTCCCAGCTCTGCGCTTGCTTCAGCTCTCTGCTCAAAGCTCCACATTTAGCCTCCAGTGACAGGGACAGCATGCCGGATGAGGGGGGTGACAGCTGGAGGTTCTGTAGACAGAGGCTGGCTCCTGCCAGGGCACCCCGTCCGGTGCAGGGGACAATGTTGCCTTGGCCAGTTTCTCCCACATGGGTGACCTGCCTGATGATGTTCCATCCCACCCCTGTTGTGCCAACCCTCCCTCCGCTCCATGCTCTTGCCAAAGAAAAAGAAAAAAACTCGGCCCCGTTGAGTGTTTTCCATATTGCTTTGAGGCTGAAAGAATTCCACAGATATACAGGGACCAGATCAGAAACACTCTGATAGAATCTTGCCCCCCACCCCACTCCATTTCACTCTCCTCTCCTTCCATCCTCTTTCCCCCTCCCCCTTTCTTTTCCTTCCCTTTCCTCTCCTTTCCCCTCCCCCTCTTCCTCTCCCCTTCTCTTCCTTCATCCTTTTTTTTCCCCTTGAATAATTCTATGTGCATAATGCTTTGGAAATAAACCAAAAGAGAGGAGAGTCCACTGTGTTTAACCATGTGGTGTGTGGACACAAACTCGGAGCAGAAAGCACAGCATTGTCCAATCCCCTCGTTGCATACAGCGCTCTACAGAGGCTTTGCCATGGGGCACTAGGGTGGGGCACTAGGGTGGAAGAGGATCGCTGCCACCAGTCACCCCTTGGTGGAAAGTGAGCATGTTCTGCTTACAGGGTAGGGCAGAGGGAAAGGGCCTGGCAAAGGAGATGGGGAGGTGCAAGGCTACTGCAGCCTTTGTAGCTGGGAGAGTCCTCTGCCTTGATCTCAGGCAAGGATTTTCCCTTTACCCAGCTCTTTAAAACTGCTGCCAAACACAGGCTACCTCTCCTTTGGAGTCCTCAGGACTCCTTGTCACCTGCACCAGAAGGCATTTATAGCCATCTTTATTTGGTTTGAGCTTGCTTCTCTGGCCATTCATATGAATACATTGATGATGTGGATGGAGGAACAGGGTTCAAATCCTCCCCCTTGTCACTTTGTAACACTGTGCCTTGGACAAGTCCCTTTTCTTCCCTGCTATGTTATTCTCTATATAAAAATAATAGTTATAACAGAAGAGCCACCAGAGGATGAGGGGTGATGGGAAGAGTGTCTGGTACAAGAGACTTAGCAAAGGAATTCACCCTCTGCTTTTCCTCCTTCTGTCCTCTCTTTGTCCATGGGTTCCTGACCCCAATTCAAACCCTCTCCAGCCAGCATTTAGGGATTGGCTTTAAAATAACTTTAAGCTTTCAAAGTTTTATTCTACAGTATGGATATTATAATCACTTCTAGAACAGTGAAAGTGTTCACATCTATCTCAGAAACTCAAGACATCTTTGAAGTCAGGAATCGTATCTTTTTCAGCCGGGCACCTCCACTCACTCAAGCTCAGTGACACCACGGCCTTAGCCATGAAAGAGTGGATTAGGCTGAGAGATGTGGAACAACTTGCTTCCAGGCTTCTAGAGCAAATGTAAGAGCTGGGGCTGGAGCCTTGGTTTACAGCCAAGGTGCAGGATGTTTCTGAGCAGCTGGGATCCACCTCCTTGGCTGACCCTTTGTGCCCCTCTATGAAGTGGGTAGGACAGATAATTGATGTCCATGTTTTGCACACAGAGAAAGAGACTCTCCTAACTAGAATAGAATATGCTTTGGTGGGTAATAGAGGGACACTTACTGTAAGGGTGGAGAAAGGGGGATGGAATGGCCCGTAGAGGGGGAGATGTGGCTGAAGTACGAAAACAACAGGCTGTATGTAGACTTCCACAGGACCAGCCATGAAAACGGCAAGGCTCCCGCCCCCTGCTGACCCATACCTGTACAGCCACCACCGACAAGACCTCCACAGAGATTCGGTTAAACTCGTCAAAACAGCCCCAGGCGCCAGTCTGAGCCAGGCCTTTGTAGATGTTGCCACAGGACTGCAAGAAAACATATAAGGATCAAATGATGACACTGTCTTAGAGTCATGTCCACAGTCACTTCCCGGTTTCTTTCGTATGGACCCATCTGGTCCCCTGAAACTCGCATTGTAATTTCAAGAACAATTAAGTTTTTGAAGGTGATGGGTGACAACACATGTCATTGGAATCAAACAAGCTTTCCAAGATGCTGTAGTGAAAAATCCCTTTTAAGATGCCATCAGGGTTCCTTCCTGAGTATTCTGTAGCTTTCAAAGCCCCAGAAAATGAATAAAAGATAGCTTTTCTTAGGCCACATAGACAAACAGGCTTCTGCTCAGGCTCTGGCATACTCTAATGGAAAGCTAATGCTGTGTCTTCAATCCTTACCCAGCCACTTGGGTTTCCCAGATGATGTGGAGCTGGAAATGGCAGGAACTGACAACAGTCACAGAAACAAACGATGGACAAATCTTGCCAAAAGAGAGCAAGAAAAGAATTTCAAAGGGAAGAATGTATTTCTATCCTAAAATGAAAAGGAACTCTGGCATCAAAGGGGAGCTAGGAAGCTATGTATCAGTGGTAAGGAGCAGGCACTGGAGGCCGTTAGCTAGGTGGTGCCCCTAAAATGCTGGGGTGATGCATTTGTGGGAGTCCTGACACTTATCCAGGGGTCATTCCATTTATTTATTTGTTTGTTTGTTTTACATCCCAATCCCAGTTTCACCTCCCTCTTCTCCCAATCCTTTCTTCCCACTTCCCTTCTTCCTCCCCCCACCTTCCACTTCCACCCTCCTCCTGCTCCTGCTCCTGCTCCTCCTCCTGCTCCTGCTCCTGCTCCTCCTCCTCCTCCTGCTCCTCCTCCTCTTCCATTTCTCTTCAGGAAAGAGCAGTCCTCCCATGGATATCAACCAGCCATGGTATATCAAGTTGCCCTAAGACTAGGCACCTCCTCTCCTATTAAGACTGAGCAAGGCAACTTGGTAGGAGAAAAGGGTCCCTAAAGCAGGTGACAGAGTCAGAGACAGCCCCTGCTCCCACTGTTAGGAGTCCCACATTTCTGTGGTACCAAGATATACAATTGTAACATATATGCAGAGGACCCTGGTTGTCAGTTCAGTCTCTGTGAGCACCTAAAGCCCAGGTTAGTTGATTCTGTGGGTTTTCTTGTAGTGTCCTTGACCCAGGGATCATTTAAAAAAAATGATTCATGTGTGCATAAGACTCCGTGCTAGATACAGATCCTCCAAGAACTTTTAGGAGGGTGTTGGCAATAAGGTATACAAATGAAAGAGAATCACTGCTATAGAAGTATTAGTTCCAGGGAATATTGCAGATCACACGGTCAGAGACCAGAGAGGAACGGATCAGAGTACTCCAGTGTGCTCAATGAAGATGGGATGGCAGAACACCCTTCTTGCACATTGCAAGATAGAGTTTGTGGAACACCAGGTCTTCCTTGAGAAAAGGATTTTGTTGTCAAGAAAGCTGGGGAAACACTACATTCCATAACCTACCTCAGCCAAGTTATAAATATATACTAGTGGGTTGCAAGGGTAGGTCAGTAGTAGAGCATGCATTAGCCTAGTGTATGAAAGAATATCTCTCTGTGTGTCTCTTTCTACTTCTCTGTTTCTGTCCCTGTCTGTCTGTTTCTCTCTCCCTCCCTCCTTCTCTCTTTCTCTACACACACATAACACACAAATGCACATACACACTTTAAATGTCGCAACAAGACTCATTTGTTACATGGCTGAGATTCCCTTTTCCTCATGTAACCTCTGATTTTTCTCAGAATATACTCCAACAAAATGGGCATAATGAGAAAACAAAAGGAGGCAGGCAGAAGCCCGAGAACCTAGCTCTCAGAACAAGGTGCTTCAGAATACTCTGCAGTACTTGCTCATGTCTGTGTGACAAGGAGAGGGGGAGGCTTTCCAGGAGGATGAAAGATTATGGAAGAAAAATGAGCAAAATAATGATGTGCCCAGAGAAAAGTAAGGGTACCATTTGGGATGGAAAATTGATCACTAAAGAAAGTCTTAGTAGCAGAAAGCCTTGAATTATTACAAGGAATCTTTAGAGGTTTGCATGAGAGACGATGATTAAGGCAACATTTTGTCAGAATCAGTCAGACATCTACCTAGGCAAGGTTGGATGTAGGGCAGAGTTTAAAGAGGGAGGGAAAATACATCCCACGTCGCATTAAACCCCAGAATGCTCAAACTCATGTGGAAAATGCGAACAAAGAAGAAGCAAAAAGATCAGCAGTTGCCAGGAGCAGAGGCAATGCTAGGGAGAAGAAACTACTGCAGGTGGTACTGTGACATTGGGTAGATGACATTATACACTTTCCTAAACCTGTAGGACTATATACTCAACTGTTCTTCCAAACAGTGAATTCCAACACAGTCTTGGATTTTAGTTTAGAACAGCATATTGGCACTGGATATGCTACACTAACCTATTGTCTTAGTTAGAGTTACTATTGCTGTGATATAACACCATGACCAACAGCTAATTGGGGAAGAAAGGATTTATTTAGCTTATACTTCCACATCACTCTCTATCATTGGAGGAAGTCAGGACAGGAACTCAAGCAGGTCAGGAATCTGGAGACAGGAGCTGATTCAGAGGCCATGGAGGAGTGCTGCTTACTGGTTTTCTCTCATGGCTTGCACAGCCTGCTTTCTTATAGCAAACAGGACCACCATCCCAGGGGTGGCCCCACTCACAATGGGCTAGGCCCTCCCCCATCAATTACTAATTAAGAAAGTACCCTCTGGGCTTGCCTGCAGCCTGATCTTATGGAGGCATTTTCTCAATTGAGTTCTCCTCCTCTCTGATGACTCCATCTGTGTCAAGTTGACATAAAACTACCCAGCACACCTATAATTTAATAATAGCAGAAACTATGTGTGAAGAAGGGAGAGTACATTGGGGTGCTATGTACCAATTATTCCCCAAATTTGGAAATGCTCTACACAGTAAACTATTAATACGATAAAGCAAAAAACAAACAAAAAAACCCATGTCTTTCTTCTCATCTATTCATCTAACAAATATTAATTGAGCATGTACTGTCTGCTAGAGAATGCTCTGGGACATGGGTACTCAATAGTACACAGGATGGAAAAGAAAGACCTTTCTAGGGCTGACATTCTTGTGAGGAGAAAAGATGATGAACCACAACACACATATCAAACTGGAGGAGAGTTACACTGGAACCAGAACGGGGTGCTACAGCAACTTGAGAGTCGGTAGTTAGGGATGTCTCCAGGAGGGTGAGGTGATTCCAGGCATTGGGTTTTATTCTCAAATGTTCCTATAGGTTGAGTCTGTCTATCATCTATCTATCTATCTATCTATCTATCTATCTATCTATCTATCTATCTATCTATCTATCATCTATCTGTCCATCCATCCACCCACACATCATTCTTCTAATGTATATATATATATATATATATATATATATATATATATATGTGTGCATGTAGGTGTGTATGTGTCTATATCAACCAATTAAGCATGACAAACCCTAACTTAGAAATTCACAAGGCCAATCTTATGCCTAACAGCGGTTTGAAAGCTTTTAAAGTCATGTATCCTTTTTATGAACTGTAGATAATACATAAAACCTTAAAGAGAATTTCTGTAAGTAGATACTTGACCCAATCCCATTATTCTCTGAGGACCCATAGCAGAACATACATCACCCCACTTGCTCATTGTATACATCTCTTGGTGATATTGACTAAGCAGTGGCATCACCTGGCCATGAGGCCAAGCTTCTAGACTGGAGTAAAGAACAAGTCATTGCAAAAGGCTGAATGTGGAGGATGCTGAGGGGGAATCCATGTGAATGACTGATTTGCTCTGGGGAAGTAAGGGCACAAACAAGCAGGATGATTGAGATTTCCATTTTAGAGATGGGGTGGGGAATATGGCCGGAAGAGTAGCAGGATCCTCCCAAGGTGGGGGAAGACCTTCTATAACAGATACCCCATGTGTAATTAGAGTTAGCACTAGGATGTGGGTGAAGATGGGAACAGATGTGGAATCACCAGAATCCATATTGAAATGGACATTCTGGAAAAGGAACAGCACGGGATACGAAGGCTGGAAGGGAGAAGTGGAAGAAAATAACACAGGAAGCTGAGGGAGTCTGCAGTCTTGAGAAACAGTTGTAAATCTTACAGGAGGCTGAGCCTCCTGAGGTTCAGAAATCATTCTAAATGCTCTCAGCTTCAGAGCCATGGGGTGTTTCTGCAGTGGCCTCTGTAGTGAGGTCAAGGGGAAAGTATTGCTCCTGTAACATGAAGCGTGGATGCTGGGCTGCCATCAATGGCTGTGCTGAGCCAGCCTCGCCACAAAGCTGCTTTTGCCTCTGAGCAGGCTGGGCTTGCACGGTCACTTCTGCCTCCAAAGTCGACCATTATCTCATCAGAAGGAGCTCATCTTAACAAGTCCTGGCTGCAGAATGTGGGTGCCAGTTTAGGACAGGTGGTTTTGCTGAGCCATTTCTGACGGGGGCAAGACCATCATTACCTCAGGGCCAGGCTGGTGCTAACCACGATAAATCCCAACTACAATTACTCCAGGACACTGTGTCGTTGAAACCCTGCCTGACAGTCCATGTGCAAACCCTGCACATAAAAGCCAACCCTGTGCACAGTTTCTCTTTGCTGTTTCACCCATTTCAGTTCTATGGCAGCATTCCAATAAGCTCTGTGGCTTTATTCTGATGTTGGTGAACTCAGCTTGTCAAATCCCATCCCTGGCAAGACTCACAGGACTCCTCAGTGTTAACTGGCTGTGTCTCGGGACATCGGCTAGCTTTGTAGGCTTTCCACTTTCCCTTTCTCCTACATTTTTCTGCTGCTCTAGGAGCACCCAGGCTCTGCACCTGTGTTCATGGAGCTGAGTGGGCTTGTGTCCTGACGGAATTCCTGGGACAGAAGTGCATGGGGACACTACCTACAACCCTAGTCCTCCCCTCTAATGCCTCTTTGCCTCATCAACCCACTATGTGACCTTGTTTCCTAGATCATCATTTGGCTTTGCTTCCCTTAAGCCTCTTGTTATCTCTTTCCCTTCTTCACTGTCCTGGCACTTGGGTTTTCTCTCTTCCCGTCCAAAGTGCTGCAAAGTTCTCTCCAGTCTCCCCTCCGACTGCCTGCTCACATGGCTCCCGGTAACAGCCTCCTCTTGTGTTACGCCTTCCTGCTGTTCTAAAGTCTGCAGGTCTTTCTGTAGCCCACCACTAGAAGGGCCCATGGCCTCTGACAACTGTACTTTATCCCCATCACTCTCCTCACATCTCCCAATGCTCCCTAAAGCTACCTGGTCACCATGCCATGCTTGGTTCTAGTCTCTACTCTGGAGAAATGCAAACAGAATCTATTATTGTTAAGTCTCACAGCAGACACATCCAAATGTGTGACAGCTATGCCTGGCTCTCAGTCCTTTCTCTCTTCACTCTGGCCAGACTCTGGGAGAAAAGCTCAGGGGTGAAGCTGATGAGGGCTGGAGTAGGGATGCTGGCTGCTTAGAACTAGGCTCTGGCTTCAAAGCCAGGCTAAGGACCAGATATGTGTTAAAGAGCCATATCCCAGGACTCAAGCAGTCTTGGGTCTCAGGAGCTCCTCACTGTGTTTTCTCACAAGAAACCATTGTGTCTGTCCCCCTGTTCTGGAATATTCTAGGCCCTAGAGTTTGTACGTTATTCATTCATGCCCAAGATTGTGGTATTTCAGCAAAAATTAGTTCTATTAATTATTCCATAAACATCTTGTTCCTCCATAGAGACTGGTCTATATTTGATCTATGTATATATCTGTGTATATATCAATTTCAATTATTGATCTAACTGCTCTACCTATCTAATCATCTATACCATCCATAGGGACCCCCAGGGCCCTCCCATTTTCCTTCTGTGTCCTCACTGAGAATCAAAGTTCCTTGACCACTCTTGGCTCAGCTGGCTGCAGGTTTTCCCAGTAGTCTTGAGTCTAAACAGGAGTTTTGAATAATCCTAGACACTGGTAAAGACATTTAGGTTGTTTCCCAAACCACTTAAAGAAACTGGCCCCAGTCCTGAAGAAAATTCCTTAAAACTCATATGAGAGACATATACGGACTCCTGGCTGAGGACATTCCTAGACAGAATATCTCAGCCTCATCTTCAGAGATAAGCTCCAGTACTTTACATATTCCTCTACTAAGTGCTTTGCACTGATTCCCCTTAGCACCTAGTCTGTCTGTCCATCCATCCTTCCTCCCTCACTCCTTCCTTCCCCCACCTCTTGGGCTCCTTTGGGTGCTGGAGCTCAAACCCAGGGCCCTGTGGATTTCTGCATGCTAAGTGAGCATTCTTCCCCTGAGTGACACCTTATCTTTTGTATTTCTTTCTTTGGAATCCTAAGCAGTACTACCTTGGGGTGTCCTAGGACACTCCCTGGTGGGAACTTCCTTGTAGCCACTTTTGAAGCATCTCCAGCTGCAGTTCTGCAGGATAAAACATTATTTATTTTGGTATCTTTCTGAAATACCATACATATTCTGAGCAATGGCAGTAACCAATAAACCAACCCACTTTGTTTCTGGAGTGTTTCATGATAAAATATAGTTTCTGAACAGCTGGACAGTAAAGGAGAAAGGCTTGCAGAAACAGTTTAGCCAGGCTGTCTGTTTACAGTGATTTTGGGGCTTAGGAAGTGAACACCATCATTCTGGGGTGTTATTAGACCCCTTCTATTAGTATTGCGCTAGTCTGTGTTTGGCCTAGACTCAAAGACTGCAACTTTTCTTAAAGCCCAGGTGAGCCAAGGACAAATGCTCTTCTACCTTGTTCTTTCAAAGGAATAGGTGGGGTTAGGGACAATTATTTAACTTTGAAAGAATTGTGATAAATGATCTTTGCAATCGCTGGCCCCGGAGTCAACTCCTCTCTTCCTATTTGCTGTGTTTGGTTTGACTTGGAAGAAATTTGCTTATTTTCTGCCATGAAAGTACATGACTTCTGCATCCAAATGACTGTGTGTTCCAGAATGTTCACCATGGGAGACTTACTTACTTCAGCAATGCTGTCAATAATTAACTATAGAATAATAATAATAAAACTATAGAAGAATCTAGAAGCTCAAAATAATCCTTAAGGCAGAGTTTATTTCCTTAAAGAGGAAAAAAATCACATTCTGTCCTTGAAAAGAAACATTACCTTAGTGTATTCATCAATAAAAACAGCTGCACTCAAATTTAGAGGCGATGGCTTGGGAAGGACTGGATTCAGGTCTGGATGCCCCCTCTGTTTGCCATAGGGAAACATGGTTTCACAGGACTCTTTCACACAGAAAGGTTTTTATACTAAAGCAAACCAGCCCAGCTCTAGAAAATGAGTGTCACCTAAAAAATCACAGTTCAGTGCCTGCAATCTCTAAAATTATTTCTACATTAAATGCATTTTCTAACATTAAATTTTATTTGATTTTTTATGTAACCTTTTTTTCTACCGCAAAACTTTGACATTATCTGTTTACTCTGCTTACAAGAGAAATATAAGGTATCTTATTAAAAACATATACTATGAGAAAACACCAGTATGGAGGCAGCAGGGCATGTTGCTATTCCACATCTTTAAAATGAGCTTTTATTCATTTGTGAGCAGAATGTCTGTAGCTGGAAGTGACCTCCTGGGCCTCTTATTTCTCTGGCTTTTCTCCACGACACAACCTGGAGCATATTGGCTGTTGGAAAAGGGCTGGGTTCTGGAGTGAAGTGCATGGACTTTGTACTGCCTGTCTGTGGGTGTCTCTTATAGTGAGCAGTGGCTAGTCCCTCCTGTTTACAGAAATCTCACATGCCCTTGTATACTATCCTAGGGAAATGCCCGCCGTATAGAGGAGCTCAAATAAATCTGTCACCTGGAGACAAGTGTTCCCATCACAGCTATTCATGAGCCTTTCTGCCCTTCCTGACCCATCAGTAAAATTAGGACTTCCGGGGTTTGTTCAGCATCATCATTTTACACATGACAGAAGAAAGGCAACCATGTCAACTAATCCACCCATGTCAAATAATTCATTTGTTCACCAAGTTCATTAGGAGAATCAGAAGGTGCCTCTGGGTTACAGAAGAGATCAACAGAAGGAGGCCAAAAGGGTTAAAGCATCCTTAAGACTACTGTGAAAAAGTAGGGAGAAACCTCCTATCTGGACTCTGCATCTCCTGGGAGGTGGGGTGGGGCCAACAAAGAACGGATAAAGCATGTACCTGATCTCAGCTACCACCCAGGTCCCAGTCTCTCCAGAAGTGGAGTGAATTTGTACCTTGTAGTCCATCTGCTCCGAGCAGTTAAACACATAGACCATGATGCCCAGTGCTCGGCCCAGGTCCTTGGTGGTCTCTGTCTTGCCTGTCCCTGCAGGTCCCGCTGGAGCCCCACTCATGGTCAAGTGCAGGGACTGAGTGAGAGTGATGTAGCACCTGCCAGACATAGGAAGGCGAATGCCATTATCTGTGCCACAGACGGCCCTTCTGGGTGTCAGGGAGATGGGAGCTCAAGGATAGATGGGCCTGACACTTAGCATCTAGAAAGAAGAGAAAACCCAGAACACCCATCTTTTCTTTTCCCCATGGAGTCTGAACTTCCCAGAGAACAACCTGATCATGACAGCCTGCCTCCCTGTAGGGAGTCATGGCTCCTTGCTGGCCTGTCTTGACCTTGACCATGCCTTCTCCTCTAGCTTCCTCTCTCAATGCTTTGATGTTCTGTGTCTCTCCCCAAGTACACTAACAACAAGCTATGGGGAGCAACACTTGCTTTCTAGATACTCTGAGACTGTGTTGACCCTTTCTCCTCCCCACCCAGGCAACCCATCCCTTTTCCATCTGTCTAGCTAACGGCTAGTAACTCCTGGTCAGGACTTGACATTAGTCCATGTCCTACGCATTCCCAGCCTCAGGACTGGGATGAGTAAGAAGAAGCTGCTCAGCTGAGCTCCTACTCTGCTATGCTCCACCCTAATGCCCACCACATGTATCCCACGGATCTCTCACACACATGTTTGTAAGAGTTAGGAAGCACAACTTTCTTGTTCATTGTTTTATTTTTAGAACCCAGCGCAGCTCCAGGTACATATAAGATTTCAATAATTCTTTAAAAAACATTTGAATGACTCCATGAATGAACAGATAATCATCCAATCTAATATCCCTGTTACTATCTGAGTGAGAGTGATGTAGCACCTGCCAAACATAATGACAAAAGAATAAAGTCAGTTTTAAGATTCTTTTTTTTAAGATTTATTTATTTATTATGTATACAATATTCTGTTTGCATGTATCCCTGCAGGCCAGAAGAGGGAGCCAGATCTCATTACAGATGGTTGTTGAACCATGGGGTGCTGGGAATTGAACTCAGGACCTCTGGAAGAACAGTCAGTGTTCTTAACCTCTGAGCCATCTCTCCAGCCCCTAAGATTATTTCTTGTGGGGCTGGAGAGATGGCTCAGTGGATAAAGTGCTTGTACTGGCCAAGCATGAAGACTCAAGTTCAAATCCTCAGCATCCATGTAAAATCTGGGTACTGGTGACACATGCCTGTAATCCCAGCAGTGTATAGTGTGTACATACGTATGTGTGTGTTGGAGTATAGGTGGAAACAGAGGATCCCAGAAACTCACTGGTCAGCCAGTATGACTGAAATGGTGAGGTCTAAGTTCATTCAGTAAGTGAGACCTTGTCACAAAAATAAGGCAGACACTGTACATCTGAATGACATGTGGACCTACACACCATACACACATATGCCACACATGTGCATGCACACACACATACACAAACATGCACACACACGCCACATACCCCTACACCATTGTACACATACACCACACACACAATTATTTAAGGTACTCAATTAAAAATGATGCCCCATGCCCATGGGCAGTGCAAAATGGATTCAGTAGATTATTTTTTTTAAGGCACAAAGTTGGGAGTGGGTTAGTGAGGTGAGAAATGCGTCTGGGAGGAGTGGGGATGAATATGATCAAAATACATTATATGAAATTATTAATAAAATATTAAAAATGATGAGCTAGATATGATGAAGTCGGTCTTCAGAAAGACAAATGCAGAGCTAACCTCCAACACTTGTACACACAGAGAATTGGGGGAATGTGTTTAGAGGGAAGTCTGTTAAAAGGACCAGAGATTTTAACATGTCCCAAGCTCAACATAGAGGTGGTATTAAGAGAAGAAAAATGTCATCTGCTTCAATCTAGAACAGGTGGTTCCTTTTACATTATAACATTCACATTTTAATGTCTTATGTTTAACACAAATTGCCTACAATTTTGGGTCTGTTTTGGTTTTAAGATCCTTTCCCATCTAGGGCACATCTTTCTCTTTTCTTATACTAACTAGAAAGTGTCTTTCTCAAAATATGATGGGAAGAAATAACACAAATGCCCCATGTATCCCTGAAGCAATCTCTCTAGCATAAGGAGCAGCGTGCCTGTGATTAGACTGGAGCAGTACTGACTGTGAGCTGCATGATATTTTCTGTTCTCACATACTAAAAGAAATGCTAGAAGTGACGTAGAAAACCTAAAGTACTTGTGAGGAAAATACTTGGAATTTTTAATTCAGAGCATTAAGTGGGCAAAATGAAAGGTAAATTTGTGAAAATTCCCATGCTTACAAAAGAAAAGAAAATTAAGACATATCAAGTCAAGCAAAGAATGTAACACCCATAGCAGTAAATGGTGATAAGCTGATACATTGAAGTGTACCAAAATTCAAGACGTTTGAATTTCAAAAGATGCTAGGAAGAAAAAGACACGATTCACCACAGACTAGGATACCATGTCTGCAACTATATCTGTAATACAGCGGAGCATAGACTCACCACAACTCCATAAGGACACAAATGGATGTTATTATACCAAAGAAAAAACTTGAACAGTATAAGACATGTGATAAAAGCTGCTTGATAATATTAGGCAATTTGAAAAATGCAAGCTATAACCTGGGTGAGACAGCCTTTCACACTGACCATAATGGCTGCAATAAGTAAGCCAACACTATTAAGGATTCAGAGAAATGGAAATGCTCACACATTGCTGGTGAGAATGTAAAATGATACAGCCACTTTGGAGAACAATTTGGAAGTTTCTTAAAGAGTCAAGCATAAAAGAGCATAAGGTCTAACAGACTCCCACCAAAGTAAAAAAAAAAAAAAAAAAAAAACACATCCACATGAAGACTTGAATGAAAATGTTAATATCAGTAATGTAATAATGGCCCCAACTAGAAACAGCCCAAATGTCTGCCACTCTCCAAATGCATAGACAAAATATGATATGTCCATGGAGTTCAAGCTCTGAGGTCTACATTTAGAGCCCAGAGCTGACTATGCTCCAGCCAGCTGAACAGTTTCCAGGTTTGTGCAATACTTCCTCTTTGATTTAAAGGTTGGTTTAATTTGTCTAGAAGTCCGATGTGCTATCCATTGTACCACAGAGCCAAGTAAAAGTTGGATTAATTTGGATTGCTGTCACTCGTAATTGAAAATGTTTTGACAAAAAAATATTTTGACTCACTGTTCTTAACAGTCAAAACATTCTCCAAAGTACTCAAAGATTTTAAATAAAAAGCAAAAAAAAATAAGCCTGAAAAAGATATAGGTAAATATTATGTTTTTCTTTGGACAGGGGCTTTCTAAACCTAAGAGTAATTTATAAGAAACCAGAATGGTGATAGCATAACTCTCAGGAGAAGAAAATCCAATTGCCAATAAACATATGACTCTGAAGCCTGTGAGTAAATAAGGTCCCAACCCAAAGGAGATACAGAATGACCAGCAAAATGAATAGGGACATTAAAGCAATATATACAGCTATTTAATGTACTCTGCACTTGACACTTTCAGAAAGCAGTGAGAGTGGAGACAACATTATTTTTTAAACAAAACCAATAGGGGCCTGGAGAAATGGTTCAGCGGTTAAAATAAGATGCTGCTCTTCCAGAGAACCAGATTTAGGATCCCAACACCTATGTCATGTCATGTGACTTATAGCCACTTGTAACTCCAGCTCCAGGGGATCCGACATCCTCTTTAGTCCACCATGGACACTCACCCATACATGTTTGTGTGTAGACACATGTACAGATGATAATGTGTAAGTTTGTACCATTTGATTATTTTCTTCCTTAGTATCTTAGAGAAAATTCACAGAGAATCTTAGTACATTCACAAAGGAGTTCATGAGGCTTCATTGTTAATAGTGAAGCTTAGTAACAACTCAAATGCCCCCATCCCTTCACATGGTTACGCTACATACATTATGGGACACTTGCAAGCAGGCTGTGAGTCAGCTCCTGAGGGTTTTAGAAGAATACCCAGAGAATATACATGCAGTTATTGCATGAAGTTTACACGGGGAGAGGTGAACAAATGTTTACACACTCCAGAAGAGCCTCCAAGGACAGACACAATGTCACTAATGTTCCACTTGAGGAACCAGTGTATTTATTGGGCTTACATAGAAAGCATGGGTGAGGTGTTGCAGGAGCAAGGTAGCCTAACCATCCAAGAGTCTCACCCCAGCATGCATGACTACTTCCAGTAGCTGCATAGATGGAGTTTCCCCCTTGAGTTAACCTTCCACAATATACGTGCCCCATCACCTCCAGAGGCCATGTGCAGTTGGACAGAACTACAGATAGCTGGAGGTGGAGCAAGGATTCAAGGACGAGATGTCAGAGACTGCGGGTCTCTTGCAGATAGTTAAACTGCTCTGATAAAGACAGCAATGGCTGCCATGTCCAGAGAAGAGCTATTTACAACAGTGTTAAGTAAAATGAGAAATCCCCCATGTCTCATAACGGATCATGATATGATCTCAATTTCTGTCTTCAGAGGCCACATAGAGAAGAAAGCCAGTAAACAGTGACAGATCTTCCCTAGGTGACTTGGCTTTTCTTCTTTAATTACTAAGGTTTTCAGATTTCCTGTAACAGAAAAACCAAAGGAAAACTTCCAGATACTTGCTGGCTCTGTCCTTGTCCAGCAAACCACCTTCAAAGACTCTTGCATCAATTATATCTCACCTACTTGCACCTTTTCCAGAGAAATTAGGAGGTGCTCAAAATTGATAAGCAGTTGATTAAAACTACTTAATATAGCACAGGGCAGATAGGGGCATTTGTGTGTGAAGGGGAGGGGAGGAGGTGGGAGGGGGTGGGAAGAGCTCACCCAAGGCTAAGGGACAACCTAGAAGAATTGCTTTTGTTCAGCCTGAGAAAACATTTCCATTTGGTTCTTCAATTTAATGCTGTACCTAAGTCCCATGACAGCGACCGAGCCTACTTACATATTCAAGTCCCATCCAGGCAGTGGGAAATTCCAAAGACACAGTCACAATCAGTCAGATGTACTGTACACGGGTGTGCTTTTAATGAATGTGCAAAGGTTGTATGGATCAATTGTCCGTTTGATTAATTCTTCTGGTAGGAGCGAATTAAATGTCCCAATGCTACACACAAGTAAAGGCTGAATGCTCTCTAAAATGTGACTTCCTGTGTGGAGAATAATTTTATTTCTTCTGGGTAAAACATTTCTTGAGATAATAATGGAAGTCAATGAGAAAGGGGGACTTATGTAAATATTTAACTACATATACTGTCAAAAAGGCATCTAATGTGCAAAACGAGGTCAAGGTTTATATTGCATTCACCAATATTTGCATCAAATCCTCCTTTCAAGCTGTTATTTGCAAAATCCCATGGAAGAGGGGATAAATCCCTGTTTTAGAAACAGTTCATTGTCAAACTCTTCTCTTCACTCCCTGTGACAGCATTTGGCAAGAGGGTACATTACCACAGTCCTCTAAATCAAAAAGTACTAATTATCTTCTTCAGCTCTCGGGCAAATGTCAAGATCCAGGGAAATAGGAGTCTCATACTTCTTATGACTTGGAATGATAATGTCTGATGGGTCAGCAGAAAGAAAGCAATACTCTGAATGCTATGGGGAATTGGCATCCACACCCCAGACTCTGGAACTCATCTCCCAGCATGGGCTTAGGGAGTCTATCCTGAGTGCCTGTTACAGTTGAACATAGGGCTAATCCTGAGAGCAGAGCAGGGCAAACCAAAGTCAAGGCTATCATAGGACACACAGTCTAGAGTGGGAAACAGACATTAATCATGTTCAAACATGTGATGGCCTAATTATGTTGTTTCAAATGATATAATTTCCCTAACTATTAGCTCGTATTCCATGGCAAGCCAGAAAATTCACAGTAAAAAGAAATATGCTGCTAGATTTATTTCTAATGATGGATGTCTTACTTTGAATCACAATTGTAGGAGATGTTTGGGAGAATCCAGTCTTCATGTACCTTGAATTGGGAAAAACTTCATTTCTCACTGGAGAGGCCCCAGACATAATTGAGTTCAGGTAAAACCCTAAATCAACTTCTTGATGTTGCCTGTTCTTATGATTGGAAACTTCTACTCTTAGACATCATTCATTCATTCATTCATTCATTCATTCAGCAATTGCTACTAGGTGTTGGTGATTTTGCACACAAAGTAAGTGAGAGTCCCTGATGTCAGAGAGAAAGCAAGCAGACAAGTAGATCATTCCAGAAGGTGGGGAAAGCTAGGAGGGAGACTGAAAGAGTTCAATAAGGGCTGCCTACTGTATGTGCACGTCAGAGGGAAGAGGCTGCTTTAAAAAATGGTGGTGGGGGAAGGATGAGGGGCCATGGTGGAATGGAGAGCCCGGAGAAAGAAACTCTAGGCATGAGACAGTTGAAATGAACTTCTAGTGATGAGTAGAAAGGAGACTTTGGGGACAGGGCAAAGAGAGAGGATTAGGGAGATTGGCAGGGACAACTATGTCCTACAAGAACTTTAGATTTTTGGTTGAAATGCAGTATGGAAACACTGGAGACAGGGATGTGGCCTCATGAAAATTACACAGAAAAGGAGTCATTAGAATAAAAAGGGAACGACTTGAGTAGGATTCTGGGCACGAGAGACTTTTCAAACTGGGCAGGAAAATGATTGAAGGATGTGGAAAAGCTGGAGGCAAACAAGCCAAGGGGTCTTCACCCACAGAGGATGCTGGGTATTCACACTTTCCCAGTTCCATAGGCAGTTTAAGTCACTTGAAGCTGTTTACTAGATATTTGGAAATGTGTTTGAATATTTGATTGTAAGGCAGATGTTACCACTTAAAACAGGAGCTAGAGGGCTGGGGAGACGGCTCAGTTGCAAGCACGAGGACCTGAGTTCAATCCCCAGAATCTACATGAAAAACCCCCGGTGTGGTAGTATGCACTGGTGATCCTAGCACTGGGGAAGCAGAGGCAGGTGGATTCCTGGGGCTGCTCAGCTATGTTAGTCTACTTGGCAAGTTCCCAAGCCAGTGGGAGACCTTGTCCAAAATAAAACACCCCAAATCCAAAACAACGGGTAAAGGAAGAAAGCACCTGAGATATAATATTCAAGGTGGTCTTCTGGCTTCCTCATGCACGCACACTCACAGGGACACACACACACACACACACACACACACACACACACACACACACACACACATACACACACACATACACGAAAGAGTGAAAATTAAGAAAAAAAGACATGGCACAGCTCACTTTAACACAGTTTATGCTAATCCCTTTGTTTCCTGTAAGTCGCTCACTCAGCTGAGCTACTCTTTCCAGAGAAGAGATATTATGTTCAACAGCCATATAAGGAAAGGGCACAGAGAACTACAGAACTCTCAGGAGAACTAAAAATACTGTATCTCAAGGCATTTCCCCATGCCCTCTTCTCTTCGTCCCCACTCTGTTGCTGGATAAAACTTGGCAAGGCATAATTTTCATCACTCCCCACTGGATAAAGAATGTATCTTTTACACTCCTTCGTCTGACTCTGGTGACCGGTTGCCTTCCCTAAAGCCAAAGTCAAGAGTCTACATCCCTCTCCAAGGTCTCTCATTTCCGTGACTTTGCTTTGCAGTCTTTCAGTAATGATTAACTAGAGTTCTTTCAGTTTGGGGATCTACTTTGACAGCTGACAAATGTGCTGTGTGTGGTGTACAGACCCGAGGAAGGATTATCGCGCATTCACAGCTAACCTGAGCTATATAGTGCATTCAAGGGAGACAGAGTCTTAAAAAGTCCGGACAAAGAGAACAGATGCTAGAATTCCTTTTACCAGCAAGAGTGATACACACACAGATTTCTATACCACGTGGGGGACGTCCTGGCAGCCATCTGACAGTCTCCCCCTGGATCCAGCATGTCCTGAGAGGTCCAGACCAGGCACTCCTTATTACTCAAACCCTTCCAGTCATCATTGTCTTCCTCCTGTGATGGGATCCTCTGTGCTCAGAGGACAGGCACACTCGGTGTCACACTCTGTGTCCTGTACTTGGAAATCCACAGCAAACGGCTTTGAGCCTTACTTGAGTCTAAGGCAGTGTTTCTCAACCTGTGGGTCATGACCCCTTTGGAGGTCACATGTCAGATATCCTGAATATCAGACATTTACAATATGATTCATCACAGTAGCAGAATTATAGTTAGGAAGTAGCAACAGAATAATTTTACGGTTGGAGGTCACCACAACATGAGGAACTGTATTAAAGGGTGGCAGCATTAGGAAGGGTGAGAACCACTGACCTAAGGTCTAGTGCTTTTTTCCCTTGTACTATTTAAATTTTTATCTGTATGTGTTTTAATTCCCCCACTAGAATTGGTATTTAAGAGCAGGACATATTTTAGTTATCTAGAAATGCCAGTAGTCAGCTCAGTGTGTGGCATGAGTTCATTTATGTACTAGGATGAAGGATGGAGAATATGTACTCCTGAAACACTGTGTGGTTAATATATTGTGCACCCCAATAAACTTATCTGGGGGTCAGAGAACAGAACAGCCACTATATTAAACATAGAGGTTAGGCAGTGGTAGCACAGGCCCTTAATCCTAGCATTCCAGAGGCAGAGATCCATCCGGATCTCTGTGAGTTCAAGGTCACACTGGAAACAGAGCCAGGCATGGTGGAACACACCTTTAATCCCAGCACTTGAGATCTCATGTCTTGCTTGGGAAAGACACATGCCTTTAATCCCAGGAAGTGATGACAGGAAGGCATGAGGACCAGGAACTAGAGCCTTTTAAGCTTTTAGGCTTTCAGCAGCAGTTCAGCTGAGATCCATTCGGGTGAGAACTCAGAGGCTTCCAGTTTGAGAAAACAAGATCAGCTGAGAAGTTGGCGAGGTGATGTTAGCTGTGGCTTGTTCTGCTTCTTGGATCTTTCAGAATTCACCCCAATACCTGGCTCCTGTGCTGTGGATATCGCTCTGCATAAATAAAACACTGATTGGCCAGTAGCCAGACAGGAAATATAGGCGGGACTAACAGAGAGGAGAATTGAGGGAATAGGAAGGCAGAGGGGGAAACTGCAGCCGCCGCCAGGACAAGGGAGATGTAAGGTACCAGTAAGCCACGAGCCACGTGGCAAAGTATAGATTAATAGAAATGGGCTGAATATAAGAGTAAGAGCTAGATAATGATAGGCCTGAGCTAATGGCCAAGCAGTTTAAATAATATAAGCATCTGTGTGTTTATTTTATAAGTGGGCTATCAGACTGCTGGGGTTTTGCAGGACCAGGAGAGAAAACTCTCCAGCTACACTCCTGGGTTTGTTTTTATTAATAAGACCATTTAAGATTCATGTTAGAACTCCGAAAGCATCTTAGTGGTTGTGAATATGTTCCTTATAGTTTTGTATTCTCAGAGAGTGAGAGGTAATGAATAGATACGCCAGTGGAGGATACATGTGGCTTTTCAAACGTGAGCGCTTGGGGTTGAACTCAGATCCTCATGTGCATATGGTAAGCACTTTACCAAATGAGACACTTTCCAGACCCAAAACTTTTCATTAGGATTAGTTTCTTATCCTCAGGGGAATATATCATGTGAGGCATGAATTATTCCCCCCATGTTACAGTTCAGAAGACCAAATGTGAGGTCACTTTTGTCATGGTTAAGCGGGTGGGATGTATTCAATCTGGCATTGGAATTCAGGTGCGTATCACTGTCTTAGCAATTCCTTGAGAAAGTTACAGTTCATTGATTTGCTCGGGGGCTTGTTTGAAGAAGACCACCTCGTGTCCTTTCAAGGTTTGTTTTATAATTGCTGTGTTAAGTTTCTCCCCCCGAAGCTATGTGAACAAGCAGACAATTATAGTGACCTTGATCCTGGCTGACCATTGGTTGGCCATGTCAGACACAAGGAGAGCTGTTAGTAACCGGCACCGGCACTTACCTATCGGTCAAAGGCGTGATCACTAGGCGAGGTGTATTTCCCAGGTACTCATAGGAATATAGAAACTGGGCATCACAGATGTTGGCAAAGCAGTGTTTGGCCTCATCATCCCAACGATGGCGCAGCTGTGACAGCCAGAGGAAAGCCTGGGCATTGTCAACCTAACAGAAGAGCAGCAGAGCATGTGGGTGAGTTATAGTGCTTTACAGGTAGGTAGCCCTCTGCTTACAGGCCATGGAAGCCTCGGGGTGGCTTAGGTGTTGTCTAATACATGAGAGGCCAGAATGCTCTGCCCATAGCATAGAAAGCACAGGCAGGTCTGATTACAGATACTTCCCAGCTTGCCCTGGGGCTACATCCCTATAATAAACACATGATAGATAGAAAATACTTTAAATGGAAAATGAATTTGATCCACTTATCCTTCCAAACATCATAACCGCCTTACACAGTGAAAGTATTTTCATTACTTTGTGGCTGGATAAAACCATTTTACATAATGTCCAATTACATGATTGTGTTGAGTAGCTTATGTTATTAATTACACTATAATAAAAGTGCAGTTCCTACTAAATATGTATTGCTTTTCTGCCACCATGAAGTCAAAACACCATGAGCTGACTAATCAAAAATCAAGGACTACCCCTATACTGCTGTGCTGGAAGTTTTGAGAGGCACCAGGAACTACCATGCCCCTCACCTGGGTCATGTGATGACCCAGGGGATGTGTTAGAGTGATCCTGATGGAGATTCTACTTACAAGAGAAATATACCTAGATCTACAGTGCCTACCTTTTGAGCAATCATCTTGGCTACCACATCCCGGGCATGCACATCAATGGTGCATATGGTCATGATCTTCTGCCTGTCCCCCTTGGAGAGCTGGCCAATTAGCATGGTGATAAGGGTTTTGAGTTGGGCCACTTGCTTCTTGTAGTAGTCCTTCATGGCGTTCTCATAGCCTTCCTCCATCCTGGCAAACGCAATGCCCACCTCTGTCGTCCACCAGATCTGAGTGCAGGTCAGAGCTACCTGTGGTACCAAGAACTGCTTAGTCAAGCTGTTACCAGGGCTTGTTTCCAAGCAACCCACTCACGATGCAGCAAGAGTTCAGGATGCAACTGTGTGGGTGACAGGCCCCTTCCCTCCCTCTTCCCTGATCATTGACTAAGGCAACCATATGCTCCAAATCCTCAGAGATGTGAACTAATTACAACACAAACGAGAAGAGCACATTCTGCTCCTGATGATGGATCATGGTCGAGGACAGCCAAAAGGCTGGCTCTGGCTGATGCCTCGATTTCTAGGAATAGCTACAGGCATCATTCACCTCTCACTTCCCAGAGATGGCACCTCTGCCACATGAGGGAGGACCACACACCGACTGAGCACCTCAACGACACTCAGCCTTTGATCCTTTAGCAGCCCAAGTACTCTAATTCAGTAGTCTACATTTGCTTCTTCTTAATATTTCCACCACATCTTTATGTTCTCAAAATCTATAGCCTGAAAATGACTACTTTTGAAGGTCAGGGGAATAAATACCAAGATTCAATGTGGTCATTATGCTTGTGTTTTTCAGAGATTAAAAATAAACATGGACAAAGAGATTTAAATCAATATTTCTTCAGTTGACTGTGCACTTGTACATGGCAAATACAACCTTTTCAGTATCTGTAGTGGAGGATTTAATTGCATTGTTCATCTGTGGACCCATTAGGCTTGGGAGACATTGTGCTAGATGCTATATATTTAATAGTAGGAGGCATCACATTTTTTTTTTAGCTCAAAATTCTTATACAGAACTTGTGCTATGAGGAATGCTGATGGGAATTATTTCTTTCATGAAACAGGAATAGTTGCTGTAAGCAGTCTCATCCATTAGGTTGCCTGTGTTTTCTTATGGGATTGCATCCTACTGGAGTTTGTTGGAGAGAGAGGCCTTCTGTATCGCTGCTTTATCAGACCGCTTGATGGGACTCACCTGTCTCCACAGCCCTATTTCCCCCTTCTCTCTGGGCTCACTCAGTCCTTTCTGCTTTCTTCAGACCTTCCGACCCACTTCCATGTGGCCCGTTTCATGGTACTCTGCTGAAATGGCCTCATTAAGTCACCCAGGGACAGACTTTACCCTTGTTTTGCTTGATCTTGTAGAAGTAACTGAAAATGTGTCACCATTCTTCTGCCACCAACAGCTTGCTTTCATTTCATGATGACTGTAGCCTGGACCTTCCTTTGAAGAAGACTCTGTTCCTTTTCTTTTTTGGCTCCTGCTGCCTGTTTAGGCTCTTGGTAATGCTCAGGGATCTGTGCCATATCCTTTCCTCATACCATCAAATTCCCATAGATACTCTAATTTAATTCTATGGGTCCAACTACAACTATTTGTCTGCAACTCTCAGATAAACCAACCCTAGCACCTACCCTATCACCAGAGGGCAGTAAGAGTTGTACACTGCAGCCAGAGTCATTGAAAGTCTTCATTCATCATTTTAATTGAGACCCTCTTGAGAAACATGGGCAGAATTCAGTTAAAATTTGGGATGATGTGGTCCATGAGAACTGGCTTCCAGTTTCCCAGATGGATTCTATCAGCTGCTTCCTTCTCCCTCCCCTCTTAGCCTTACTGCAGCCATATCTAGCTCTTCTCCATTCCTCAGGGACTTTGTGCTTGTTTTTGCTTCTGAACTTTTGCCTATGCTCTTCCCTACATGGGGTGCTATTTCCCTCCATTATTTAGCTCCCTAACTCCTTCTTCAAATCTTGGCTTAACTAGATCCTCAGAAACATAGTCTCAGACCTCACTAGCAAGTTACATATGCCCAGGGAGCCCTGAGCCTACCCAATGATCACCTTAGGCACAATTACAAGTGACTGGGCTCTACAGGAGGCTGTGAACTCCCATAGGACAGGTTGCCTCATCTCATCTCCTGTCGGTCTTCCCCTCTCACAGTCAGCAAAGAGCTGGCACATACAGTGTAAGGGGACTCCAAGACTTTAAATGTTCACATCTTCCTACAGTCAATGATACAGATCCATAACCCAACTTTTCCAAAGCAATGACTGAACTTAAGTCATAGCTGTCAGTGTTGCTTGGTCTTCTGGCCCTCGCCATGGTCTAGGATTCAAGCCCTTCCCATTGTGAAGCACAGGGGCTCTTCAACCTCAGAAGGCCCACACAGGCTGTTGGAAGAGAAAGACAGATGAGGACAGAGGCCCAGGAAGGTCCAACTGGAAAAGTACCTGAGCTGGGTAATCAAACAGCCACTGTTCCCTGGGCTTCTCCTCATAGGCGGTTACCCCTTCCATCATCTCATGCCTCACCGTGGCTTTCATGTGACGAAGCACGTGGTTCAACCATATCTCAACCTGCAAGAAGAGCTCTGGGTCAGATACCACAAGGCTGAGAAAGTTTGATCGATCCTGTTTTCTTTCACCCAGCCTGAGGGAGTGAAGACAATGGAGCTCCAGCATTGTGTACTGACCAGATGCCAGAAGGCAAGGGCAGACATTTTGCATTTATAATCTGGGATGTGATGAGTGGGAGCTAGGCTTATGTGCTAATGTGGAACCCAGAAAAAATGACAACAGGTGAAGGGATGGTAGAATGCTAATTAGAGCTCAAACAAAGAACCCCAAATCTGGACTGGGGCAGGTTTAATCAAGCTGATTCTCATGGCCTTGTCTACACAGCATAGAGATGTTAGTTGGGTTTGTGTTTCTCAGTTGAATGCTTTGTGGTCTTGGTCTGTTAAAAGAACATATTCTGAATTTAAAACTCAAGGTTGTCAGCCACCCCCATGTAACAAGAGGACTTTGGATTATTTTCTGATAAGAGAATTTCTCCCCAAGCATATGTGGGAATGGTAGAAATTTCTGAAAGACTGTCTTGTTCAGGCCTTGTTCTGCATGGGAATCGAGCCCCAGGGGCAATGCTTGGTTATGTGGCTGTGAATAATGGGCACGGCAGGACTTTACTTCAGTGGTGCTGGAGGACAGGGTGGGGTGTAAGAAAAGAATTGTCCTATGATTCATTTGCCTGCAGTTGGCTGTGGGAGGCCTGGAGGTGTAGTAGGACTTCCTAGAGCAGAGGTATATAGTCAGCTCTCCAAGGAGAAGAACTATGGGAGGAAATGACTGTGGGGTATACTTGCAAAGATGGGAGACATATCAGAAAAGGACATTTCTTCCCAAGGAAGGTGTCTGAGTTCCAGATTTCCCTGTGGGGTGCTTCAGGGGTCGCCATCGTAATATTCTCTGGGCTGCCAATCACCTTACAATCCCCTCACAGCCGACTGCAGTGACTATTTTTTTTGTATGTACACATATGTTATTTTCTGCATGTATGTCTGTACACCACATGTGTACCTAGTGTTTGAGGAGTCCAAAAGTGGGTATTGAATCCCCTGGGACTGGAGTTACAGATGGTTGTAAGCCATCATCTGGTTGCTGGGAATCGAACTCAGGATCTCTGAAAGAGCAGCCAGTGCTCCTAACCACTGAGCCATCTCTCCAGCCCTGCAGTGACTGTTTATATGCACTTTATTTCTCCCAGCACCAGTCTCTACTGAACAAGGAAATAGAAATGTAGACATACGTTTTCCTCAGAGAGAGGAAGGCACCAGAGGCAGCTCCAGTGTGGACCACAGGCAAGGAAAGCTGCTCCTTCAGGTCTCAAGCTCTGGCCTGAGGGAAACTGACTTTCACTGAATTTGGTTTGGATGGGAAGGGATGGGGGAGGTGTGAGGAGGGGAACGGAGTGTCACTTACCTGCCCACTGCAGTCACAGGGCTCACTGAAGGCCACATATTCCTCTTCTTTGCTGTACATGCCAAGGCTTGTCTTGGTTGGGTTCTTACTGGCATCTAACTGGAACTGCATTTTGGCCATGTTGTCAAAGAGCTTGGAAAGATGACGTTGAACCTGAGAAAGGAAACCATGGCAAAGGATTCAAGAGGATGCACAGGGAGCTGATCATAGTTGTCTATGGCCTGCCAGGGAACAACTCTTGCATAAGATAGGAGGGTGAATGCCAAGCCTGTGGAGGGAAAGGTACAGCAATCATGGAGTTATGAAGATAGGAACCATGTGAAGTGGATAGACGTGGCTAAAGGAATAAAGATATTGGTGGGAACTGTGCCACCATTGTCATTCTGCCATTGGAGCCAGTGTCCTCTCCTGCAACCAAACAGGAGCAAATGGGTTTCACCATTGGAGCCAGTGTCCTCTCCTGCAACTAAACAGGAATGAGAGCATGTAAGAATGCTGATAAGTTTCAGGTTTTGAAAAGAGAAATAACTATCTCTTGGTTTTGCTTTCATTTCAACAAAAGAAACACAAGCTCTGTAGACCATAAGATGAAAGATGGGTTGGTAGAGAACCTAAGGTAGCAACTCAAAGTCAATTCACAACAGTGTTAACAGCACTCACGGGTTCAACTGACACAAAGAGCTAAGTGCAGTGAGCAAGGCCTGAAGAATGCCAAGGAAACGGACCAAGAGCTATGTCTACTCAAAGAGAAGAGGGGGCCTGCAGCCAAAGGCAACCGACCTCAGTTTACAGATGTGTGATGAACCCAGTGGGGGCAGGGCAGATCAATGCAATAGAAATTCTCTAAAACAGAGTGGGAGAAAACTGTCAAGATGACAGAAGCCATGGTTTCCAGGACAGGGAAGACTCCAAATGTCACAGAAAAATAACAAAATAAAGCAAATACATAAGCAAAGACATATTTTAAGCATTATAAATACAAATTTTGATTTCTACAGACATAAAGATGAAATAACTGTCATAATGACTTATAAATCAGTCTATTCAGTCACTCACACAGAGGTGGGGTTAGAAAATGTCTTTACTGTGCTTCATTCCCTAGGGTGGGGTGGATTATTTAAAGATTTACTAGAACCTAATGAGAAGCAAATTGAAAGAAATACTTAAGAATGAGTACTGTGGGTACCAAAGGTATAGAATGAATGGAGGTGGTGATCTGACCCCTTCTACACACGGAATTAGTACAACTCTAAACAAAATGCTGATATGATATGTAGTTCAACTCCACTGTGCCTGGGCCACTTGGGAAATGATTCAGTCGACAGGATAAAAACAGAAGGACCACAAATGCAAAGGTGATGTCTTTTTAATACTTGACTCTTCTTAACAAGCAGAGTCAGACCTGCTGGAGCTGCTTCTTGGCTCTGTTGGAGAAGCGCTCATCCATGGCTCGTGGTGATGCCAAGGGGACAGTTCCTGTGCAGTGAAGCGTTGTAGTGCTAACAAGGCTTCTGTGTGTTTACTCTTTCAGCCAGAATTCTCTAGGAAAAGCTCTAGATCTACAAAACAGGTCTCCAAAACACAAAGTTACCTAATGCCACTTCATTTGATTGGAAAATAATAGTTATCTAATGGCCAGACTATGACATATCAGCATAGAGCATGATGCAAATGTTGAAATGGAGAGCTCGGATTAATATGAAATGATTTCTAAGATACAAAACTAAGTTAAGAAGGAGGAGGAGGAGGATAAGAAGGAGGGGGAGAAGGAAAAGAAGAAGGCACAAAACCAATACCACATGCCTGCAATCTCAGTAGCACAGAGGCAGGAGGATCACAAGTTTAAGGTCAGCTTGGGTTACACCGAAGACGCTGCTACCCCCATAAAGACAAAGTTCAAGCAGGTACTGCAGACTGCTGCCTTTTGTGTGAGAAAGAAGCGGTGATGAGGGACCATATCTGACTGGATACAATGTGCACCTGCCTATTTGCACAAAGATGAACACAGGAAAGGTAAATCAGGATCTAATGAAACTGCCTATCTATGGGGAGGAGGGAGGGTAAATAGTGATGGTGGGAGATAAACAGAGAAAAAAGGGACACTCTCAGAGATACATATCTTCTGACATGGTTTGGCTCTTGGAATCAAATTAGTGTTCTACATATTAAAAAACAAAAATAAAGAGTTTAGATGATTAAAAAAATACCCTAAATCAGAAAAAAACAAACAAATCCCTTCATACTTCAAAGAAATGACCAAGTCACACAGAAGGGAGGAAAGGAATTCAGCCAAGTGACTTGTCAGTCAGTCCAATGTTTGGGTCTGGTTTGACACTTCAACACATCTATATAACAAATATGATCAGGCCAGGATGATTGGTACATCTATCATATCAAACAATTGGTTCTTTCTTGTGTTGGGATTATTGAAATTCTATTAGCTTTCTTGACTTATGCAAACTGTGGTATACTATAGTTATTTTGCTGTTTTATAAAAATTTACAAGTTATCCATCATGCCACATTCACTACCCATCACGCACTAGCCATCCCCTCCACCTCTCTGGTAATCACTGTCCTCTCTACTTCTGTGAGATCAACTTCAGCTTCCACATGTGGCATTTGTCTTTCTGTGACTGACTTATCTCATGTCACATCATGTCCTCCAGCTCCATGCATGCCATCCTGCCAGTGACAGAATATCACACTTCTTTATATAGCTGTCACTGTGGACCACAATTGGCTAGATATCTCTTGAGAATCAGATCAAAGGTATTCCTGATAAAGGCTTAACTTTATGCTCCTTTGCCTCTCTGCTTCTGTTTCAGATGCTGGGAAAGGGGGTGGTGTGTGGTGTGTGTGTGTGTGTGTGTGTGTGTGTGTAGAAAGGGAGCAGAGATACCTAAGGCAACATGGGTCTGAAATGCTTGTCTCCTCTCTGAGAGTATGCTCCTGTTGGGTGTGCCCCACCCCTTTGGATGATTTTAAATCTGCCACTGGCTTACCTGTTGTGGGGCTGTGCCATTGGAAAGGATGTCTAGCAGGTCAGAGGAGGATAAGAAGTAAAACCGAGGGAAGGCAAGCCTCTTGGTGTCTAGGTACTCTGCTAGGGCTTTCTCACACAGGCACAACCTGAAGGCACAGAACACAGGTTCTCCTAGTTTAGTATAATTAGTATAACTTGGCCCCAAGTTACACACACATTACCTAAACACAAACACAGCCAGCCCTCAGTGTCTGTGAACTCCTCATCTGAGGGTCCAACAACCTATGGATTGATATTTGGGAAAATTTTTCACATGTTTTGAACACACACAAACATTTTTCGTCATTAATCCATAAATAATACAACATAACCATTTACAAAGCATTTGTATTGAGTTAGGTATTGTAGATAAGCTAGAGGGGATGTATAAGCCATGGGAGGGTTACAGAGGTTATGTGCAACACTTGTAGCTGCAGACTTCTGTATATCTGCAGGTTGTCTTATAAGCAATTCTGAGTAGAAACTGAAGGATGACTGTATTTGCAATATGTAGGATATTTTCAGATTTAAGAACAATGGATTCCTAGGAATATTTGCAAACAGACATATCTATTTACATCTGCCTCAAACTTCCTAATGATATCACACCCTATATTACCCAAACTCATGGGGAAAGCAAGGGCCAAGCATGCTCTCATTGGCATTTAATAAAGGTGAGAGGCAGAGAAGGGAAGTTTGTACCCTCCCCACAGCAGGCTGGCAAGCCAACTCACCTGCTCTGAATATCCTCCAGCTTGTCATAGAGACCTGGCTTATTCGTGGCTTCCACCACATTCGGGGTTTTCTGAGCATCATCTGCCAGCTTTCTGAAGTCAGAGTCAATGCCTTCAAATCTCTTAGAGTCCTACAGATGAAACAAACAGAAAGTAATAATCAATATTTGTCTCAGATTGGCCCTTGCAGTCATTTGAGGGCAAAAGTCACTAATCCCAAGAAGAGACTTGGGCAAGGAAGAGCAGCATTTGGACATCATCTTGGAATCCTTTTTCTTTTGTTTATGCAGGTGATCTGCTGAGCAATGTTTTCTGTATTAGAAGCTAAAGTATTTAAAAGACAATTTAAAATTATTTAATTCATTTAAAAAGTACAGGAGCCAGGCTGTGGTGGCGCACACCTTTAATCCCAGCACTTGGGAGGCAGAGGCAGGATTTCTTTGAGTTCGAGGCCAGCCTGGTCTACAGAGCGAGATCCACCAAAACTACACAGAGAAACCTTGTCTCTAAAAAACCAACCAACCAACAAACAAACAAATAAATAAATAAAAATAAATAAATAAATAAAAAGTACAGGAGACTTTAGGAAGGAGGAAGAAAGGTAAATACAGAAGGAGGGTAAAATACCAGTAAGCATGTTTCAAAGAGTCATAAGAAATAATAATTTTTTTTTTTGGTTTTTTTTTTTTTGGTTTTTCAAGACAGGGTTTCTCTGTGTAGCTTTGCGCCTTTCCTGGAACTCACTTGGTAGCCCAGGCTGGCCTCGAACTCACAGAGATCCGCCTGGCTCTGTCTCCCGAGTACTGGGATTAAAGGCGTGCGCCACCACCATCCGGCAGAAATAATAATTTAACTATCTACTCATAAATACCTACAATACATACAAGTCTCTGTGTAAATACACATAGACAGTTTAAGTGAAAATTTTCCATATGAGCTGACAATGCTCTTCCCAGAAGCCACAGACTAACAAAACCCGCAATACCAGGCATGAGAAGTCCTCTTTTGAGTAGGTCAGGATTGTCCAAGAAACTCCAAAAACATTACAGTCATTGTTGATGCGCTATTTGCCCCCTCCCCAACCAGAGGTAGAAGATAAATCCTTATTGCTAAAGACACCATGAACTTCAGATACAGGGCACTTAAGTGAATCTGGCCTGAAAGCTTCCTCCTGGAGTACTAGCCTTCATGATAAGAGAAGGTGCCACATAATTTCCCAAGGGTGGGAAGAAATCAACAATCCTACCAAGTGATGACACCTCTGAGCTACAACAGCAACCAGCATGGTACCACAGTCTAAGGGTCCAGTAGTGCCAAGAATACCTTGGCAGTAACCAACAGCTCCCTAATTGGACTGGAGACCCATTCAACAAGAAGGAAACCGTGTATGGTAGGTACTAGGACCTAGTCAGCTACTCAGGGCTGATAAAGTCATGGATCTCAGAGGAGAACCTACAACCACCACGCTACTAAACCAACATAATCCATCACTTCATTCTGATAATTATCCTTATACCACTGATAAGTGTTGTCCTCACCTCTCATCAAGGAAACTTTTCTTTGCAACAGATGGAGACCATTATAGAAAGTCACAACTGATCAAATGGAAATTTGTGGAGCCCAGGCCCAGTGGTTACATCATCAGCACAGTACCTACAGCTCTGGGATTATTGTGAAAGACGGGGGGTGAAAAGAACCAGAGGAACAGGAGGTTTGCTCTGAGGCTTCAAAATAGAAATTAAAATGTAGTAATAATAAACCTATCAGCTTAGCATAATACTATGTTTTTAATCTAAAAATAATTTACAAAAACAATCCCAAACCACTACAATAAAAACGGGAGTAGTATCCTTCTGCTTTCCTTTCCACCTTCCAATTCCTGTACTGAGTGAATTAACAGAACTCATCAATGTTCCCACATCTGCTTCTGCATCTGAATTACTTTGGTCTTACAGGCCATGCAGCATCATAGAAAGCTCATGTGTGCTCATGCTAGAACAAAAGTCAAAAAGTCAAATGACACACATGATTACTAAGGTAGTGTTGACTCTGTAGACCCCTAATGAAGTCTCAGAGACTCCGTACTCTTACTCCAACTGTCCAATAAATGATTCCTAAGTCAAGGAGACAGTAGATTGAATGTTTTTTTTCTAGCTCTATGAAAATATTTGTATGAACGAAGTTTTTTCTCAAATGTACTGCTATGCTCTCAAATATATTTAATGCCATCATTCTCACTGTGCTGCTAAAATGATCAAGAAACTAATAGGATTTTAGCCTAAATGTAGCACCTGGTGAGAACATATGGTGTTATTATAAACAGTAATCATGATGTTATATGCTGCATGCATTGTTTTCATGGACTTTCCAGAGTGGGTGCCAGTGCCTGTCCTAATTTACATATGAGGACATCAAGGTTTGAAGACATTAAGTAAATAACTTGCCCAACATGGGAGAATAAAGAAGCCTAGGGCTTCTGCCCTACCCTCTGTAACCAACACCCTTCACCCAAGGTGATCAAAAGACAGGAGACGTGGGTAAAACACTTTCTAACCCCCTCTCAATGAGGTGTTTTGCTTTGACTGAAAATGAAGTGGCATCAAGGTGACAGAAGTGTAGTCATACCTGGCATGAATGTTCAAATGAAAAGAGCCAATCAGAAAACTGTAATTACTCTGGGAGTAATTACGTAAAAAACTAGCTGTCTACATGCATAAAAGTTGGGAAATAGTCATAATGGATGAAAATAGTTACTAGTTTGGGTGTAATGAGACTGAACTCCTTTCTGTTATGCTCTTAATAGGAAGGAAACGCAGGCATTTACATGCTGTCTGCACAAACCTGCAGCGCTATCCAGGGACTAAAATCCTTTCCTGTTTTTCATAAGAGGTTCTTAAACGTCCCCTTAAAGTCCTCCCCGGAGTCTCCACCTATGTCCTCACCCCTTCTAATTAAGCCTATTCTTCTTCAATTGCTGGTATTTATGATAAATAAAGTCTGGTGCTGGCTTCATTACAACTGCCATACAGAACTGTTCCCTGATACTTGCTGCTGGGAATGTCAACCATTAGGCCACCGTATTGTACTAGCATGCTTGTGCAGGATGTGCTGGAGAACTGCAATGTTGAGTGGCATGTGCTTTAAGTTCTTAACAAGGCCTGGACAACTGGTGACATTTCATAATCAAGCTAATTTGTCAGCAAAGAACTGGCTGTACTGAATGGATACAGAAGAAGTCTAGGGCAAAAAAGAAGGAATTACAGTCCACTGAGATAGGGTTGGTTAATGTCACATTAATTAGGGCTAATGAGAAGGGGCCGGAATTGGGGAAGGTGATAATGGAAGCTTATATTTTAGGGAAATCTGCTGTTAGTCTTCAGAAGAAAACTGGTATCTGATATGCTAGTACTGATTAAAGGTTTGCAGCATGGCTCCCTGCCTGGGGAGAATGACCTTGAACTTGCCTGGCAACAAGACTTAGTTTCTTTGAGTATGTGTGATATAAGACCTATGAAGTGGCCCTTAAGGAGCTATTCCCAAGACACAGCAGCTGGAATCTTCTATTTCTTTTCTCACATGTAGTTGAAAAAAAAAAAAAGCAAGTCACTCCTTTCTATATGTAGAGGCAAACTGGTTGCAAACATGTTTGCTTGTTTGTTTGTTTTTTGGTTTTTTGAGACAGGGTTTCTCTGTGTAGTTTTGGTGCCTTTCACTCTGTAGACCAGGCAGGCCTTGAACTCACAGAGATCTGTCTGGCTGTGCCTCCCAAGTGCTGGGATTAAAGGTGTGTGCCACCAAACCTGTTATCACTTTTTTTTTTGGTGCGGCAAGTCAGTGCATGTAGGAGGTACCCTGAGGTGCAGAGAAGGAACCTTAACACTGTAGGGGTGGGGTGGTCTTCCTTTCACCTGGACCAGAGACTAGGTAGCATAGGATTCCCTGAGCAGTTACCTGTGGTAGCTGAGACCGGATGTCTTCAGAGCCAATGAATATGCTCTCTAGGTGAGACCAGGTCCGCTGGACCTCAAACCAGATAGAGATGACTGAGTCAGCCGTGGACAGCTTCTTCTGCCAACTTGACACTTCTTCTAGGAAGAAAGCAATGTGCTTGGACATCATCAGGTTCTGAAGCTGTACTTGGTTGTCCTCCAGAACCTCGATGAGGTCCTCGTCTGACTGCAGCAAGGGTATGTGTGTTCGTGTGTGGGGCTCATACTGGAATTCCATGCTGGCCCAGGTGGTCTGCAGTTCCTTTAAGGTCTTCTCCATACCCATCTCTTTCACAGCTCTGTCCACAATACCCCGGACCTCATCCTCGAAGTGGTGAAGCTGGAGCTGCAGGAGGTGAGCTAGGGTGGTGTCCTGATCCATGGTGAAACTCACACCTGTGGCCTGCATCAGCTGCCTCCAGTGCCGCTCCCGGATGGCAGGATTCTGCAGCTCGGCTACGGCCCTCAGGGAGGTCAGAGTATTCAACACTGTACTTTCCAGGCCTTTGAATGCATCCCAGGCTCTGAGCTCCTTATCTAGGTTCCGGATGTGCCGGGTGAATTGCTTGCACTCCAAGTCCATGGCTTCCACACTGATATTCCTCCAGCTGGTGGCCTCCCAGGCATGGATACTGGAGGTCACCATTCTGATGGTGTCCCAGAGCTCCTTAAGATGGCAGGCCTCCTTCCTGCACTGCCTCAAATGTTTATAGTCAGGAACATTGACCTCAAACAAATCCGCTGACTTGGAGATGGTGGCCATGGTAGATTCCATGTGCTGGATCTCTGTGTGCCAGACATCCAGCATTTGATATGGGCTGACACTATCAAACCTAGAAAGCACAACATATTCTCTTGGTAAGTATAACACACAGGGTTCAACTAGAACCACTAAGGTAGAATCAGCTGAAATGTTTAGTATCTCAGAGAAGAGGAAAAGCTTCTAACACAGCATCTCATCCTGGATGAATGGGGTGGGGGTGACCACTAGATGGAAGAGCTATTCAAGAACATCAGAGAAGACGCAGAGTATAGTGACACATGACTCTAATCCTCACACTTGGAAGATGGAGGAAGGAAGATCTTGGGCTTGACATCAGTGTGGACTCTGCAGTGAGACCCTGTCTCAAAAGACACAACAATCATAAAAGAGCAATGTCATGCTTAGACCTTTTACCAAATCCAAGAAGATAACAATAGACCTGTCATCTTGTACATCTCCAAACTTATCCATGGGGCTCCCATTAGACTGCTCTGCCTTTGTCCCTTGTGAGGCTAGTGGTCTCAGCCTTGGCTGCATGTTAGGACTTTCTGGAAGCTGCAAGTTTTCTATGCACAAACATCTCCCCAATCCCTTAAATCAGTGTCCTCTTTAGGGTTACTACTGTTATAATGAAACACCATGACCAAAATCAACTTGGAGAGGAAAGGGTTTATTTGGCTTACACTTCCACATCATAGTCTATCACTGAAGGAAGCCAAGACTGGAGCTCAAGCAGGGCCAGAACCTGGAGACAGGAGCTGATGCAGAGGCCATGGATATTGCTCAGTGGCTTGCTCCTCCTGGCTTGCTAAGCCTGCTTTCTAATAGAACCCAGAAGCAAAAACCCAGGGATGGCACCACTCACAATGGGTTGGGCCCTCCCCCATCAATTATTAATTAATAAAATGCTCTACAGGCTTGCTTACAGCCCGATCTTCTGGAACATTTTCTCAGTTAAGGCTCACTCCTTTCTGATGACGATAGCTTGTGTCAAATTGACATTAATCCAGACAGCACAAATGAACCCTTGTCAACTTGACGCATAAACACATCACGGTTAGGCCACGAGCTTCCCTTTATTGTTGAACCCCAAGATCACACATTAATAAAGGCACTGTAATAGAAAACATTTTACAAACTTAAAAAGTCCCACAACCTGACAAATTCAAATACTTTAAAAGTTCTCTTTAAAAATATTCAGTCTTGTTGGGTGGTGGTGGCATATGCCTTTAATCCCAGCATTCAGGAGGCAGAGGCAGGAGGTTCTCTGTGAGTTCGAAGTCAGCCTGGTCTACCAAGGGAATTTCAGGACAACCAGGGCTATTACACAGAGAAACGCTGTCTCAAACAATCAAACAAACAAACAAACAAACAACCCTAAAAACAGTCTTTTTTAAAGAGTCTCTGTAAAACTCTAAAATATTCTTTTTCAACATTCTAAGTCTCCCAACTGTGGGCTCCAGTAATATAAAAAAATACTTTCTTACTTCAAAAGGGAGGTCACAATCATATCAAAGCAAAACCAGTATCCAGTGTCTGGAATCCACCACAATCTTTTGGGCTCCTCTAAGAGGTTGGGTCATTTCTCTGGCTCTGCCCTCTGCATTACATACAACTTGTCTTCTAGGCTCTGGCTGGCTCCATGCCACTGCTGCTGCTGTTCTTGGTAGTTGTCCCACGGTCCTGGCATCTCCAAAATGCTGAGGTCTGTTGTTTTTATCAAAAATCTCAGTCCTTTGATTCTACCAATAGACTCAGGAACCAGATGCTGGGGTAAAAGCCTGCTAGCTCAGAGAGGCAGAGAAAGCACCCAGCTGATCTTCCTCATCTGCTGTCATTCCAGAAGCCTCTCCTCCTTCCTACTGTCCCAAATTCTCTCAAACTCGATGTTCCTCTCTTCTGCTTCCTGTGTGTCTCATTATCTGTCCTGATGCCCCCTTACTCTCTATGGTTTTTTCTTAATAATCTTATATTCACCTCATATTAACTGGTTGCTTGCTTTGCCTCTTGACGTAGGGTTGATTCCACCCAATCCTGTCCACAATATTCAAGCAGAAAGCTCCCAGATCAAAGGCATGCACCAGGGCCAAGCCACACTGTGGCGACATATTGTGTACCCTAATAAACTTGGCTAGGATCAGAGGACAGAGCCAGCCACTAGATCAAACATAGAGGTCAGGCAGTGGTGGCACACACCTTTAATCCCTGCACTTGAGAGACCTTATGTCTTTGCTTGGGAACCACACATGCCTTTAATACGAGGATGTAACATGGCAGGACACAGAAAGGTATATAAGGCATGAGGAAATAGGAACTTACTCTCTTTAGGCTGAGGACTTCTTAGAGGTAAGAACTAGTAGGTAAGGCTGGCTGTTCTGTTTCTCTGATCTTTTAGCTTTCACCCTGAAAGCTGGCTCTGTTTTTTTTTTTAAAATTTTTATTTATTTATTTATTTATTTATTTATTTATTTATTTATTTATTTATTTATTTATTTATTTATAAGACCATTTAAGATTGGAACACCACCACACCACAACTAGAAACAGAATTTTCCAGTAAAGAACACAATCTCAGGGTTCACAGTGTGATCAGAGATCCTGCAGCAGAGGTCTTCTGCTGCAACTGGGCTGCCAACTGGCGCTGAGGCTGCACCTTCACTAATGGCATCTCCTGACCTCTCACAGTGCAAAGCCTCAGTTGCTCTCCATGACCCCTTCATGCCTTCAAAACCAGTACTGTGTGGTTGATCCTACAGTACCAAAGTCAGGGGCCAGTGTGAAGTACAACCTTGGCCACCTCTGGACCACAACTTCTATGTACTGACCTTGAGGAAACACTTTCCAGCAGATTTCACCTCAGTGATGCTGGTCTTTTTTTAATCACAGCTGACTACTCTTCATCCCCGGCTGAGCAGCATCCATTCCTCTAACAAAGCATTGGTTTTACTTTAGTGGCTCTGTTCTCTTGTCCCTTTTTGTCCAGTGCTGAAATCACACACCTTGTTGGAGATGGTTCCTGATTCTTGAGTATCATACTTGAGGCATACTTCAGGGCATGGTCTTTCCTCAAAAGAAGAGCCTCATTATGTAAGGGAGCTTACATGGTAGTCCTCTAGTCAAGGGCATGGCTGACCCAAGTTTTAAGGGGCCTCTGTTTTTCCTTCTCTCACCATCCATTATCTGTCCTCTCTATCCCCAGGCTTCTCTTTCTGTGTGTTTAGAGAGGTAGACGTTTGGGGTCCTATTACTTAGTAGAGATGAACACATTCTTCCAAACTCTGGACAGGGCCTCACAGGCTCCTCGAAGAAATGATGAATGGATACAAGAGGCTAGAGAAATGGCTATTTCCATCTTTCTGCTATGTATGAATGTTTGCTGACAGGGTATGGGAGGGTGGAAGAGAGGAAGAGGATGATATGTGGATGCCCTTTCATGGACTGTTCCTTCTGTCTCTGAAAATATCTGCCATCACAAATGGAAAGAAATCCTAATTAAAGCCATTCACCTGAACTGCTTGCTCTTTACCCCCCATCACCATGCAATGCAGTAACAGTCATGCACACCATTGCATTAGTGCCAGGTTAGCTTGGATGCATGTTCTGCTGCTGTCCACCTGCCCTTTATGAATCGGTTTTGGCTTGTGAGCTATGGTCACCAAGACACATGGCTGATCACCATGCACAGGTCAGGGCTAGCCTTCAGCACAGAATATTGGGGTGGTTTTCAGAGTGGAAATAACCTTCTCTCTGGGTTTTTCCTCCCTCCCCTACAATGGGCAGTAGATAATGGACTCAATGGAAGAAATAGAATTGTCTTTGTGACAAGTGTTTCAGCAAGAAAGATCACCAAGGCACAAAGGATTCTTCTGCTTGTTTTTTTCTTTTCTTTTCTTTTTTCCTTTTTGCTTGTAGAGATGAACTGTTGGTGTGTGGGGGCTCCAATTTCTCTCTAGTCTACAGTAAAGTTAGAATGTGACATTGACTACTTGCTGTTAGAAAAAGATCTACGAAATTCAGACAAACTAAAAAAGCCCACATCCTATTTAATTCATTGTGGTGCACAATTCAGGAAGAAGTTATCAGGCAAGCTGGGAGTGAGGGGTATTTGCAGTGCACAGAAGGTAAAAATGTGTGCTATTCCCCCCTATCACATAAACATCCAGAAACTGACAATGGTTTCTTAAATGTGTCGTTGATATAATTTGTTTATTGTTTAAATTTGTGGAAGAGCTTTTCCTAAGTCTGATGTTCATGTATGAACACCAATTTTGAGTAAGTTTGGAGGGGAATCTCTACACATGAGAGCAGGTAGCAATTTCAAACATTTAGAATAAAATAGGAATGGTAGCACATGCCTATAATCTCACCACTCAGGAAGCTGAGACAGGAGGAACCTAAAGTCCAGCCTGTACTATATAATGAGGCTCTGTCTCAAAAATATTCCTTTATGGCAACTTGTCCAGATATTCATAAACTTCATGCATGTGCTAACAATGAAGCATTTTTCCAAACTGGGGAAAGAAGGGAGTTTAAGGACAAGAAGGCCACAGACGGGAAGGGCACACCGGGTCTATGAAAGAGAAATAAAGGAGCAACGAGTATCTTAAACTGAAGGAGAAATGTCTGCGTGAATAAAACTACAATGAAGTAATGAAAATATGTTGCTCAAACATCAGCCCATGGAGAGAGGAGGAAGAGCCCCTTCTGACTCTTGGGAAGCTAGCCGCCAGGGAATGCCCACTGCAGCACTACTTCTATGTGGAGAATGGCGTGCACCCGCACCATACCCCACAGCACACAAAACTCAAGGTGCCCACACTGAACTGTGATCCCTAGTTCTGCACACTCCATGCTAGCCCATTTCAGTGCCAATATCCACCTCTTTGTCCAAGCTAGAAGATGGAGAAGCATCCCATACTCTCTTCCCTCAGTTCACATCGATTCTCCCCTTCCTCAAATCCACAGTCTTGGCCTGTGCTTCAGTTCAGGCCTTACCACTCTGATTCATGACTGTCATAACCTCTCGGTTGAGACCTTGTCTTCAGTCTGCCCTACTCCATGAGAAATTAC